GATCTCGGCTCACTGCAACCTCCCCCTCCCGGGTTGAAGCAATTCTCCTGCCTCAGCCTCCCGAGTAGCTGGGACTACCCGAGCGTGTCACCACACCCAGCTAATTTGTGTATTTTTAGTAGAGATGGGGTTTCACTATGTTGGCCAGGATGGTCTCCATCTCTTGACCTCATGTTCTGCTTGCCTCGGCCTCCCAAAGTGCTGGGTTTACAGGCGTGAGCCACCGCACCTGGCCTGTTATTTTTTATTTAGTAACTTGAAATGGACATAATGTGGTTATAGCTGTCCATGCACATTGTCATAATGGGATCTGTTTTTACTTAGTTCTGTAACTAGGCTATTAGCATTATAGAATGTCAGCTTTAGGGAGAACCTCATAAAGGATATGCCAAATGAGTTGGGAATATTCAATAGTGAGGCTCAATCAGGGAAGTGTCTTTAGAGAAGGTGAGATTTATGCTGGGCTTCAAGGGAAGGATGAGAAGATGAGTTGGCTTAAGCACAGGTACACAGGTACAATACATGGATGTGAAAGTAAGCACAGATACACAGATGTATATGGATGTGAAAGTCATTCACATGGATATGAATATTTAAGATTTATAGAGCAAATGAATGTGAAGAGAATCTATATGAATGGTGTATTTGAGAACATGTAGTGGCAGATAGCCCTCAAGAAGCTGTTCAGAGCCATAATCAAGCACAAAAATATTTTATATAGTTGGAATTTCATAATGCAGTAGAGAGAGGAGGGGAGAGAGAATTATGTGTTACAGGGAAACATAACTTAGTCAAGTTAGATCAGAGTAAACCAAATCTTGAAGATGCTGAGACTGTTTCAGTTGTTGTTCTTGTTATCTAGTGTAGAGTTAATGAAGGCCTGAACTGTGGTTCTTCTGGAGGTGTTAAAAAAAAAAAAAAAAAGATCAGTGGAATTGTTTTGTGTGTGTGTGTATGTGACTGGCTATATTTGAGTTTGGAGGTGTTCAGTCCAATACTTGTTTCCCTTTGGTAGGTGCAAGTATATACTTGCTTAAAATGAATTTAATACCCTATCTTCCAAACATTCTAGAAGACCAGTAATCTATACATAGGACCCAGTGTTACAAAATGCATTATATTTTAATAAGAGTTATAGTGCTCTAACTTAAGGAAAAAAAATTAAAACAGTAGACCCCCCCCTCTTGAAAAAATATTTTCTTTTTCTTTGAGACAGGATCTGGTTCTGTTGCTGATGCTAGAGTGAAAGAGGCCGGGGCTTGCTCTGTCACCTAGGCTGGGTGCAGTGGTGTGATCATAGCTCACTGCAGCCTCAAACTCCTGGCTCAAGCAGTCCTCCCTTCAGCCTCCCGAGCAGCTGGGATTACAGATGTGCACCACCACGCCTGGCTAATTTTTTTGTTCTTAAATGTTTTGTAGAGATGGGCTCTTGCTCTGTTGACCAGGTTGGTCTTGAACTCTTGGTCTAAAGCAATCCTCGTAAGCCTCCCAAAGTTCTGGGATTACAGGCATGAGCCACCATACCTGGCCTGTTTTTGAAATCTTAAACAGAAGCCAGATACATATTATAGATAAAAATGGAGTGTCTGTATTTTCAGGGGCATGGAAGAAACCGCCTGCTTATCCTTTAATTTTCACTTCCTCCCTCAGTCAGTTCATTTTAACTTTAAAAGTGTATGGAAAACAAGATGCAGAGCACTGCTCTAGGCACAGTTTATGCATATATCCAAGTAGGTTTTTTGTGTCTTATTAGCAACTGATTTCTTATTTTCTTAAGATGGAAATTAAGCAATTCTAGTGATAAGGTTTTAATAATTTCACTCTTTTTATGTAGAGGAGAGTGAGCCTTGAAGGATGAGAGGTTCTTTACCCTCTTAGGATGGGGTATAGTAGATAGAACCATATGAATTGAAGAACTGAGGAGTGTGAGCATGTAACACCTGACCTTTACGGTAGTAGGTATGAAGTCATATGAGAACAGTATTTTTTTTTCTGTTTTGTTCACTGATTTTTCTCCACTGGTACTTAATAGGCACTCAATAAATATTTTGCTAAATAAATGAACTGGTGATATTGAAATCCAGTTAGTTTACATTTTCGGTGGTTTTGGTATTGTCTTTTAAAAGTAGCAAAGATCAAGTAATTTAATTTGTTAGATGAATATGAGTTAAAATGGGTTCACTTTGCAATGAGGAGCAAAAATTTATAGACTTCCTTGAGCCAGGCAATAATTAAACACAAAGTTTTTGGTGTTTTTAAAAAATAATATTGATTAGATTTTATGTTGCTGAAGTTTTCAAATCAAGGACATGATGAAACAGTCTTAAAATGATTTATGTATTCATTTAGAAATTTCATTGAAAACATATAATTGTTTTTGTTACACCCTAAACTTGCCTATTGCCATTTGTTATATTAGACAGCAATTTTTTACACTTTTTATAAGGTTGGCACATATAAGTTATGGTTCTAAATACAGCTAAAGATTTTAGGAATATAAAAATTATATGGAGTTGCTTGATGTTTTGAGGAATGGGATTGTGGTTCCATAGGATGTTAAATTTGAGTTGTGAGATTATCAAGTTGTATAAAAGGACATGTTTTTCTAACTCCTGATGAAGAAAGAATAGGAATATTGAAAGAAAGAAAAGAAACTTCTTATTTTGGTGAAGGTCTAAGGAAGAGTTTTTTTTTAAAGCTACATAGGACTTATCTGATTTAAATATGAAACCTTAAGAGAATTTAATGGTAATATTATTAATAAGTTACTTAATTTACATCACTAAATTGAATTGGGATACCAAGGCATTATAGCCATTGAGTACAATGAATTGTTTTTCTAGGAATATTGGGATTTTTAGTCATTTATAAAAACTTGTTTCTTTTTTTTTTTCTTTTCTTTTTTTTTTTTTTTTTTTTACAGGATATGACATGTCTACATTTATTAGGCGGTATAGTAGATATTTAAATGAAAAAGCAGTTTCATACAGACAAGTTGCATTTGATTTCACAAAAGTGAAGAGAGGGTGAGTTAAGCTTTTTTTGGCATCTAATTGATTTGAATTTTTAAAAATGTAAAACATAGGAGTACTAGATTATGAATTATGAAATTTAAGCAAGTTTTAAAAGACGAACCTCATTTTTCTTTGATGAGGTATATCAAGTACTTTTTGTGGTAGGATTTGTTTTTAAGTTCTTTTTGTAGCACCTTTATTGAGATATAATTCACATAACAAAAGTTATCCTTTTAAAGTGTGTAATTCATTGGTTTTTAGTATATTTACAGAGTTGACCAACATCACCACTAATTTCAGAACATTTTTATCACCTCCAAAAAGAAGCTCTGTACCTATTAGCATTTGTTTCCTATTCCCTCTTCCCCTAGATCCTGGCAACCATGAACCTACTTTCTGTGTCTCTGGGCTTGCCTATTCTGCACATTTCATATAAATGAAATTATACAATATGTGGCCTTTGTGTAGCATAATATATCGAAGTTATAGCATCCATGTTATATCATATATCAGTATTTTATTCCTTTTTCTAACCAGATCATATTTTACTTTATGGACATACATTGCATTTTGTTTATCTGTTCATCAGCTGATGGCCACTTGAACAGTTTCTACTTTTGACTATTAGGAATAATGGTGCTGTGAACATTAGATTTTATGTGGATTATCTTTTTAATTCTCTTCGGTATATACCTAGAACTGGAATTGCTGTGTCATATGGTAACTCTTATGTTTGCCATTTTGAGGAACTGCCAAATTATTTTTCAAAGCAGTTGAATCATTTTACATTCCCATCAGTAATGTATGGCACTTTCAGTTTCTCCCTATTCTTGCCATACTTATTTTCTCTTTTTGTTTCTGGTTTTTTGTTTTCTTTTTTAATTGTAGCCATCCTACTGGGTGTGAAGTAGTGTCTTGTGATTTTTAGTTGTCATTTCCCTGATGGCTAATGATATTGAGCATTTTTTTTTGTACTGTTGACCGTTTGTATATTGTCTTTTGAAAAAATGCCTCTTCAAACCCTTTTCCCTGTTTTTATTTTTTATTTTCACTTTTTGAGACAGTGGCACAATCCCAGCTCACTGCGTGTCGACCTCCTGTGCTTAAGCATTTTTCCCCTGCAGCCTGCTGAGTAGCTGGGAACACAGGCATGCAACACTATGCTCAGTTAATTTTTAAAAAAATTTTCATACAAACGAGGTCTTACTATGTTGTCTAGACTGGTCTTCAACTCCTGGGCTCAAGCAGTCTTCCCATTTCGGCCTCCCACAGTGTTGGGATTATAGGCATGAGCTACTGACCTGGCCTTTTGCCCATTTTTAAATTGGGTTACTTGCCTTTTTATTGTTAAGTTGCAAGAATTTTAAAAAATATATTCTGGACACCAGTTGCTTATCGCATAAATAATTTGCAAATATTTTTCTCCTGTGGCTTGTCTTTTCAGTTTCTTGTTGGTGTTTTTTGAAGAACAAACATTTTTAACTGATTAAGTGTATCTATTTTTTTCCTTTGGTTGCTTCTACTTTTGTCATCATGTCTAAGAAATCATTGTTTAATCCAAGGTCACAAAGATGTACTCCTACTTTTTATTCTAAGAGTCTTGTATTTTTTGACCTTATAGTTAGGTTTTTTATCTCTTTGGAATTAACTTTTGTATATGGTGTGAGAGATGAGTCCAAATTTATTCTTTTGTATGTGGATATATAGTTACCCAGCACCATTTTGTGAAATTACTCTTCTTTCCCCATTGGATAGTCTTACCACCTTGTTGAAGATGACCATAAATGTAAAGGTTTATTTCTGGACTTGCAGTTCTGTTCTGTTGATCTGTATGTGTATCTTCATGCCAGTACCCCACACTGTCTTGCTTACTCTTGCTTTGCAGTGTGTTTGAAAATGAGAACGTGTGAGTCTTCCAACTCTATTCCTTTTTTCCCCCAACATTGTTTTGGCTGTTCTGGGCCCCTTGCATTCCCATGTGAATTTCAGGATCAGCTTGTTAATTTTTGCAGAAAAGATAGCTGGGATTTTGTGGGGGATTGCATTGAATCTATTGATCAGCTTGGGGAGTATTCTTAACGATTAAATTTCTAGTCCATGAACAAGAGATGTCTTTCTGTTTATTTGGATCTCTTCTCATTTCTTTCACTGCTGTTTTGTATTTAAGCTTTCTTTTAATCTCAAATGCAGAAGATGCATTTAATTTTTGCTGCACCCTAATTAACAATCATCTTAGCACATGATCCAGTCATATGAATGATACAGTCATTGCTTCTATAACTGATAACACCTGATACGCAGATTTTTTCCTAGGATATAGGATGAGGGCTGAGGAGAAAGCCACTGAAGACATTCTTAGCAGCAGTGATGACCCTTGTAGCTATGAAGTCCTGTCTTGAAGGGAATCTGTCATGTACAGAAATAGCCTGGTGAATGCCTTCCTGAGCCACTCTGCTGCTCAGTGATCCCTAAAGTCTAAGCAATTGATGTGTTCCTTTAGATTGTTCTATTGAAATTTTAAATTAATGGACTGAAGTGAAAAATTTAGCTGAAATATAGAATTCACCTCTTAGTTATGCCAGAAAATTTAAAGCTGAATTTAAATGTTCTATGTTGCCATTCCAAATTCATCAGGAGGCAATTATTTTGGAATATGCCTAGAGTAAATTCTACAGATTTTATTTCATATATTTAAGCACTTTGTAGAAGATTATGTTGGAGAACTTTTTTAGAAGTCTGATTTTTAACCTCTGTATTCTGTCCAATAATATTTCACTGTGAAGTGTCTTCAGTAAAGCTGATCTTCAGTGTATTTACCAATTTCAGAATAATAGATTTTTAAAATGGTAACATTTTTTCTAATGTGAAGGGCCAGTCTTGAGAATAGTTGATGAATTTTTTTATTTAATAGAGCAGTCTTTTTTGATTGGATGAAAATGGCTCTTGATCAAGTACAATAAAATTAGTATTGACTTAGTTGAATCAAGGAGGAGCCATAATTGAGTGGGGACCAAGAAGCGGCGCAAAAGTGGCATTATACGCACACACATACACATATCAGACTGTATAAATACAAAAGAAAAATATCAAGAATATCAGGTATAAATTGAGGACATGACAGCAGTTGAAATGTATTATATCATGGCAAAAACCTCAGTAGGCGACACCTTTTGGAGAGGACTCTCATTATAAGTAGTGAAGTTTGATTTATTAAGATAATTTTTTATATTTACAAAAGTAATAAACTTAAAAAAATTAAGAGTACCATCCTAATTCATAGAAAATGTTAACATTTTAGTGTGTCTAATCTTTTCTGTGGGTGTAAATAAAAACATGTATTTAAAGGCACATAGGAAATTACATAAAAATTGGATCAGATTCTTTGAAGGCTGCTTTTCTTTCCTCCTGTGTATTTTGGACATTTTCAATGTCTGTACACATAGATCCATCTCATTCTTTTTTTTTAAGATGGAGTCTGGCTCTGTCACCCAGGCTGGGATGCAGTGGTGTGCTCTTGGCTTACTGCAACCTCCACCTCCCGGGTTCAAGCGATTCTCCTGTGTCAGCCTCCCAAGTAGCTGGGACTACAGGTGCCCGCCACCATGCCCAGCTAATTTTTGTATTTTTGGTAGAGATGGGGTTTTGACATGTTGGCCAGGCTGGTCTTGAACTCCTGACCACAAGTGATCCACCTGTCTCGGCCTCCCAAAGTGCTGAGATTACAGGCATGAGCCACCTCGTCCAGCCTCAATCCATCTCATTCTTATGAATGGCTGTAGAATTATGTTGCAGGTGTACATCTGATTTATTCCCATTTTTTTTAATCTTATAAAAGCAATGGATTGACCATCCTTTTATTTATGGTTGCATTAAGAGAATTTTTCTATAGAATAAATTATTAAAATTGATGGGTCATTGATAAATATATATACATTTAACATTTTAATAGAAAACACCAAATTATGCTTTATAAAAGTTATACCAAATTATTGGCTTATTCTGTATTCTTCCATCATGAAAAATGCATCTCATGTGTTCATTTTGTATTAGCTGATTGAATAATAAATGGTGATATTGAGCACACTCCCCCTTTCTTTTGAATGCCATATTTGTTTTATTAATTGTCTTTTGATGTCCGTTGACAGCTTCTCTATTGGGTTTTTCATTCTTTTCCATTGTGTTGAATAGTGGTAAGAACTCACAAGCTTTTTTAGTCAGACGAATCTAGGTTTGAATTCTAGCTTCATACCAATTAGATGAGGGACTTCAGTGAGATACTTTAGCTGGTTTACTGACTTTTAAAAAATAATGTTACTTTGAAATAATTTCAATTCCAGAAATGTAGCAAGAATATTAGAGAACATCTGTATACTTTACTCAGAACCACCAGTTTTTAACATTTTGCCACATCTGCATTTCTCTTTCTGTGTATATTCTCACAGGCATGCACACACATTTTTTTTTCTGAACCATTTGAGAGTGGGTTACATACCTGATGCCTTTTATAGTTTATATCTTTTAATACTTTGGTGAATATTTTCTAAGAAGAAGGATATTTTGTTACATATCTGTCAGCTTGCTAAACTGCTTTCACATGGTGGCACACAAACTGATAACTATTTATACAAGAGACTACTTGAGGCTAAAGGGTTAAAAAGGGTCAACATCTTGGCACACTCATAACCCTTTCTACCGTGCTAGTATGCTGTGGCAAAACTGGGAAGGCCTTACTTAAGCTCTGAGTTATTTCATCTGTAAAATTATGATGTTAATTAGTACTTTTCTGTTAGGAGTGTTGTGAGAATTAAATGGGATATTGTATCTAATGCTTAACACGTAACGAACACTTAACAAATGAACTTTTTGTGTATTAGGAAAATGTTATAGGTTATGAGTATTTTTCCCTGTTTTTTTAACATTGTTAAAAGCTTTACAGTCTTAGGTGATCAAAACCGTTATCTTCGTTTTTATGTTTTTTATCTTTCAAGCAAGCTCAGTGAGCTAAAATGATTGATTATTATGTTTTCATCAGATATATTTATGGATTCAGTGTTTTATATTTTAATCTTGGATTCATTTGGAGTCTACCATGGTAGGAAAAACATGAGGTAAAAGCCAACTTTTTTTTTTTTTTTTGAGACAGTTTTGCTCTGTCACCCAGGCTGGAGTGCGGTGGCGTGATCTCTGCTCACTGCATCCTCCGCCTTCCAGATTCAATCAATTCTCCCACCTCAGCCTCCCGAGTATCTGGGACTACAGGCACACGCCACCGTGCCCGGCCACTTTTTGTATTTTTTAGTAGAGATGGGGTTTCACCATATTGGCCGGGCTGGTCTCAAAATCCTGACCTCGTGATCCACCCGCCTCGGCCTCCCAAAGTGCTGGGATTACAAGCGTGAGCCAATGCGCCCATCCTTAGCCAACTATTTTTAAATAGAAATATAGTTTGGGTGGCAAGAAGACCAGACAATTGCTTTTTGTTATTTTCTGTTCTAGAATGAAATATTTTGGGAGTTAAGAGCTGAGAGCTGATGTGTTTCGTGTAAGGAGACAAGGAAAGAGAAGAAAACTTGAAGATGCTTAGGAGAGGATTTTATTAGAGAAGGCTAAGAGGATTGCTGGCAATGTTGAGTATTCATTTGAGGTTGATGATCATGAGTTTATAGTTTTGCCAGTTTGCCCAGTTGTGCCTTTTTTTTTTTTTTTTTTGAGACGGAGTCTCGCTCTGTCGCCCAGGCTGGAGTGCAGTGGCCGGATCTCAGCTCACTGCAAGCCCCGCCTCCCGGGTTCACGCCATTCTCCGGCCTCAGCCTCCCGAGTAGCTGGGACTACAGGCGCCCGCCACCTCGCCCGGCTAGTTTTTTGTATCTTAATAGAGACGGGGTTTCACCGTGTTAGCCAGGATGGTCTCGATCTCCTGACCTCGTGATCCGCCCGTCTCGGCCTCCCAAAGTGCTGGGATTACAGGCTTGAGCCACCGCGCCCGGCCTGTGCCGTTTTCTTTACCAGCACTCAGCTATATGTGTACAGGCATGGATTAGTTAGGTGTTTGTTCAGCCAGGATTGTTAATTTGGCAGTTGACTGACATGCAGGGAAGAAAAGAGGTGCAAGAAAGTTAAAGGTATTTGTAAGGGAGTGATTATAATAATGATCTGTGGAATTCTAAGCTAGGTGAAGAAAGTAAAAATGAGAAAGGATCAGTGTGGGTAGTGGTGGAGTTGAAACATTGAAGTTTCTGATGAGGTCAAATAGTTTTTGCCACAGGGATATGTGACCAGAGTAGCTGAAAGGTTAACAGGTAATTGTCACGGAATAAGGTGTCTGAATTTTACCTTTTTTTTTTTTTTTCATTCAGGGGTGGGGCTAGGATGCTGTGGTTTCTGGGGGCAGTAAGGTTAGAATCAGGAATTTTGACATCAAGATGTTGGATTGGTTGTCCATATAGATGTTGAAGCTAATGAAGACAAGAAAGACTGAGCCAATGTTCAAATCTTCTGTGATGAAGAAGTAACTGGAGGTAAAAAAGTGACTTCAGTAAGAAGAGTTGCAAAAGAAGGGATGGTGTCCTCATCCCAAGCTCCAGCAGCTGGTTCCAGCCAATGCTGTTTAGCACTTGAGAGGAAACAGGCATCCATAAGTTAACACATTGGGGAGAATTAGGCCGAAGCTGATCAATAGGTGACTACTTAAGGTAGTCCAGTATTTGTTTATTAAACTTTGTTGTGTCCTGCAAAGCACAATTGTTGCTTTTTATAGCTTAATTGTTTTTTGGCATCTGAGGTCATAGTTCATGGTTTATCGTAGGGTAGAACAGCCATTTATAAGTATAGATCATTTGTAAATTAGGGGAACCTGACATATTTTTTGGAAATGCCTTGTTACTCAGCCAAACAGTTATGCCATTATTTCACAGTCTAATACACCTGGGTTTACATAATGACGCTACCACTGATTAGTTCTGTGATCTTAGGCAAGTCATATACCCTCACTGAACTGAAAATTTTATCAACCGTAAAATGGAATAAGAATATCAGTAGAATTTTTATGAGGATTTGAAAATGATAGGGCAATCTCTTGAGTAATACTAAATGTGATATACAATAAGCTCTTAATATTAGCTGTGTACGTTAGCCCTAGTACCTTTCACGTAGTAGTTTTTAAATCTGTTTTGGTGCCGCTAATATTTCTCTATCTTTAGAAATACCTGTTTGGAAATATTTAACAGACTATTTTATTAAAGACTGTCCACTGAAAGTATCTCTTGTGTAATAGCCAGATTAGAATGACTTGGTAAAATTGTTCTTTATTTTGTAGTGAAGTGGTTTTAGTTATCATTTCTGAATTAAAAGCCATTGCTGTTGGGTCATGAATAAAATACTGTAAATAAAGCAGTGCTCTAAGACTTTGTCAGCTCCTGGCCTACAGAGTGTTTAACTGTTTAGTGACTTCAGGCAAACGATTATTTTATTTGTAATTTTTTAAAAAATGGTAAAACTACTCTTCACACACCAATGTTTGTGAGGATCAGATCATTTCCTCATGTGAAAAGTGTGCTGTAGACCTTGCTGTTTAATGTAAACTTTTGTTTTTGTAGTTCATGCTCTATGTTCTTTTTTAGTTCTAAATGAGTACCTTGACATTTAACATATTATGTTGCCTGTTTTTGTTTTTCCTGTATGATCTCTGCTTTAGTTTTCATAATGACTTAAAAATATGTGGCATTTAATAGCAACTTGGTTCTCTGTTTTAGTAGAGAACCAGGGGAGTTTGAAATGTAGATTTAATTGCAGATTCATTTGTTTATTTCTCTTTTTTTTTCCGTAACAGGGCTGATGGAGTTATGAGAACAATGAACACAGAAAAACTCCTTAAAACTGTACCAATTATTCAGAATCAAATGGATGCACTTCTTGATTTTAATGTAAGTTGATTTATGCTTTTGTAATTTAAGATTTTAAAAAATTAGGTCATTATAATTAATGAGAATTTTTAACTTCAAGTTTTCACAGACTCTAGTTTTTCTCACTGATATCCTATATGGCTAAGGATTTTCTATAAAATAGTCTCAAGTCAAATTACTTTTTGATTTTTATGACTGTTTTGGATTTCTTCAGTGCTTCTCTGGCTCTAGAATTTTAAGATATAGAAGCTAAAGTGGTGAAAGGATTGATCTGAAAATATATTTTCTTTTAATAATGACTTTTAGATTTTAAAAATGTACAGGGGTATTTTTTAAATGAATAGCCAACTTAATACTTTGTTTTTGTCTATTTAATGGGACTCGAAGCGTGACAGTTATTCAGAAAAAATTTAAATAGCACTTATAATAGCCTGTTATGTAGCTATTGCCCAAGGGCATTGTGTTCCCTGGAATTTTTATTTTAATGACCATGACTTCATCCAAGCTGCCAACTTTGTCATTTATTTATAATATGTTAGAAGTTAGCATTTTCAACTCTGTTCTGGTTTTTTTTTGGCATCTATCTTACAATGTTTTGTTTATTATTTATTTGACATTTTGTTTTAGAGATTGTGAGTGCGAGTTAGTGAATGAAACTGTGACAGTTTCATGCTGAAACAGATTTTTCCTTTAAATTGTTTAGTTGCTAGTTTTTAAGCTTCTTCAGGACAGGAACTAGGTCTCTTTCGCTCTCTGTTGTACCCCCATTGCCTATTAACGTGGCACATAGTAAGTGTTGAGTAAACTTCAACACTATTGAAACTGTAAGATTCAATAAATCTTACAGGTATTTCATAGACTGGAACAGAGATTATCCAACTATAGCTCACTGCCTATTTTTGTATGTTTTATAAGTGGTTGAAAATAATTAAATGATATTTTGTAACAGGTGGAAATTATATGAAATTCCAGCTTCAGTGTCCTCAATAGTATTATTGGAACACAGCCAGCCTCACTGGTACATATTATCTATGGCTGTTTCATGTCACAGCAGCAGAGTTGAAAAGTTGTGACAGACTGTGTGGCCCACAAAGTCTAAAATACTTACCATCTGACCCTTTACAAAAAAAAGTTTGCTGACCCCTACTCTAGAAGGCATGGGGTATTGATGCAGTTATTCAACATTATTTTGGTTTATATAGAAGCTCAGGGTCCAACCATGCAAATTTTTCTTAATATATTGTATTTGTATAAAATTTCTTATTCTTTTCAATGTCTATATTGTACTTTGTTATATATAACAATTTATCTGATCCTCCTGTTGATGAATGTTTAGTTTTTCTGTTTTTTTAACCTAAACAGTGCTGCACTCAATTCTCTCTCCTCTCTCTGTCTCTTGTCTCTGTGTGTGTGTGTGTTTGTGTGTGTGTGTGTGTGTGTTTCCATTTGTAAACCTATTTCAATAGGGTTAACACCCAGAAAAAGAATTTGGTGGTTCAAATAATATAAGCATTTACATTTTTAATAAATATTGCTTCTATTGCAAAAGGGTGAGCCACTACTCAACAGGTGTCTGTTTTTGCTTTTTCATCTTTTTTTTGTTGTTTTTTTGAGACAGCATTTTTCTCTGTCACTCAGACTGAAGTGCAGTGGCGTGATCATAGCTCATTGCAGCTTCCAACTCCTGGGCTCAAGCAATCCTGCCACCTCAGCCTCCTGAGTAGCTGGGACTACAGGGGTACACCACCATGTTCAGCTACTTTTTCTTGGTTTTAGTTTTTTGTAGAGAGGAGGTCTTGCTATGTTGCCCAGGCTGGTCTCATTTTAAACTGCCAGGCTCAAGCAATCCTCCTGCCTCGGCCTTACGACGTGCTGCGACCACAGGCATGAGCTACTGTGTTCTTTTTTTTTCATTCTTATGGGCACTGAGTAATACAGTCTGATATTCAGGAAAGGATATTTTAGTAATTTGATTTGATTATTATATTTTAATTTACCTGATAAGTGAAGTTGTATTTCTTTTCATATGTTATTGTCCATATGTATTTTTTATATTATAAATTGCTTTCATTTACTTTATTTATTATTAGAATTCTCCCTGTATAATGGACAGCAACTCTACTTGATGGTCTGCAGATACTTTTTTTTTTTTTTAAACCAGTTTTTTGTTTGCCATTCAATTTTGTGCTTAGTTTTTCTGTATATAACAATGAGTTAATTTTCATGTGCTAAAAAAGAACTTGGAATTAATTTGGTTTATCTTTTTTATTTATTCCTTGAGATAAAACTAAAAATATTTCCAATATTCTTGTTAGTCAAATGAGTACAATTATTTGGTTACAGCAAAACTTAATAATAATAATAAATAATGTTTATTTATATGGTAGCTACTGCACTAGGATCTTTATGTATGTATTAGAGAAAATAAATGTCCTTTTCACTAACTTGCCTAATGCTGGAATTTACTGTATTTTAATTTGAAGGAAGTCTTTTTGTGTCATTTAAAACCTAAGATTAGCTAATTTTATTTTCCAATTTTTCCCCAGGTTAATAGCAATGAACTTACAAATGGGGTAATAAATGCTGCCTTCATGCTCCTGTTCAAAGATGCCATTAGACTGTTTGCAGCATACAATGAAGGAATTATTAATTTGTTGGGTAAATACTGCTGTAGCTTAATAACATGTCTTATCTTGTGTCATATGGATAAATAATATTGACTGAGTTGTTACTTAAAGCTGTCTAAAAATTTATTATGATATATTCAATCATTGTAACAATTAATTTGGAGAGAAGAGTTTTATACCTGATTATTTCTGCAAGTGATTACATACTTTTATACCCAGGATGTTCAGCAAGTTGAACTTTATTTTTTAGATATATCTATGTTTTTTCTACCCATTTTGTTAATTTTTAGAAATATAAAAGTGCCTTTAAAATTTAGCTGGGTTAAGATAGTAGTAAGTTTTAGGCTGAGGCAGGAGAATTGCTTGAACCCAGGAGGCGGAGGTTGCAGTGAGCCTAGATCTTCCCTGTGTACTCCAGCCTGGGCAACAAGAGCGAAACTCTGTTTAAAAAAAAAAAAAAAAAGTAAGTTTTATGTTATATGTATTTTACCACAATAAAAAAAGATGGAAAAAAAATTTTTTTTGTCCCAGAAAAATATTATTTTCTCATAATCAACTCCATAATGAACTTTTTAAAAAATTTAAATCTGTTTTTTGTAGTCTGAAGTAACATGGACTTACTCAGGGATGCTTTAATCTATAGGATAGGGAAATTTGGCTTATTTTTTCACAAGTGAAAAATAAAGGTTTTTTTATAAAGCTTTGGAAGGCATAGTCTTCCATACTATAATTAGTATAAATTAACCTCTTTACTCCTATGTATACATTAAACTTAAATGAACTTTCTGAGTGACATTTGGGCATGGTTAAGTTGTTATCTTAGATAATACACTATTAGTAAGAAGATTGGAAATAGATGTTAGTGCTGTTTTAAACGGGGTCAAGTGTGATACGTGTTTACACACAAATATATACTTAGGTAATTGTGAGGAAAAGTATTGTGGCACAGACTAGGAATATGAGTAGGGTCAAGTAATGTTTCTATTTTTTTAATAGCAGCTCTATTCTAATTTGCTTTAAATACCTAAGCTAGCTTAACACTGATATTTTTCTAGCAGGGTGTGTATGTTCCTTTAGAGACGTATTTGGAGCTATTACCTACTCTTTTTTCTGTTTTTGGGTGTTATATTTTGATGTGAAGAAAAGAATTTTTACATTTATTTTGTCAGAAAAATATTTTGATATGAAAAAGAACCAATGCAAAGAAGGTCTTGACATCTATAAGAAGTTCCTAACTAGGATGACAAGAATCTCAGAGTTCCTCAAAGTTGCAGAGGTAAACTGTCTTTAAGTGACTGTCCCCTAACTTGCCTTTTTGTCTGTAAGTATGGATTTTGAAGTCATCACTTACTATCCAAATAAAATAAATGTCTTAAATTTAGTATTCAGTGATACTATTATGCTGCATTGAATTCTGTACCAAGATATGAATATGATAAAATAGTGAATAAAATATATGCTATATATTTAATTCAGTAGCGAGTATTGAAAAGTTACCTGTTTTTAAATTGTTTACTTCTCTATAAAATTGAGTAAGTGACGTACAGTAGTGCCAGAGATTTTTATGGTTGGAATTAATCATATATTTGAGAATGTTTATTGTTAAATGTGGTAGAGAATATCCAGTATCAGTGCAGGTTTCTTTTCAGTGAGACAGCTGGAGCCACATAGTTCAAAATGTTTTCGTTGGCAGGGCACTGTGGTTCAGACCTGTAATCCCAGTGTTTAGGGAAACGGAGGTGGGTGGATCACCTGAGGTCAGGTGTTCAAGACTGGCCAACATGGGAAAACCCCATCTATACTAAAGATACAAATATTAGCCAAGCGTGATGACGGGCACCTATAATCCCGGCTACTCAGGAGGCTGAGGCAGGAGAATCACTTGAGCCTGGGAGGCGGAGGTTGCAGTGAGCCAACATTGCACCACTGCACTCCAGGCTGGGCGACAGAGCAAGACTCTGTCTCAAAAAAAAAAAAGCTTTTTTTTCACCAACAGAAATGAATTTTGTGTATTTATTATCCTTGATTGTGAAAACCATGAATGTAGGTGATAGGATAATCTAGTTTTGCGGCTCTGCTTAAAAATAATTTTCTGAAATTGTCACAGAAGGCAAGTGTGGTAATACTTGCAGGCATTATCTTGCTACTACAGAGGCGTTCTTAAGGGTTTTTTTGTTTGTTTGTTCTCCCATTCTCCAGCCTCTACCCATCTCCACCAAAGATTTCTTCCTAGGATAATTTGCTCAATTATGTCAAAGTAGTTACTTTGGAATTAGCAAGTTAGTGATTCTAGGCTTTATTACTGTGGTGATATGTGATTCTATATTAGAAGCAATCGGACAGAACAGGATGATCAGACAATAGGTTTATTATTAATCTGCTGTTTCAAGGAGAAAGATCCTTTCCATTTTTTAAGGGTCAGTCACATATTAAAACAAGAAGGTGGTGTTTATGCTGTGATTCTAGTAAATTCTTTAGATAAGTTTTAATTTGTTGACATTCCCTCTTGGCCTTTTATGTTCTTTGCATTTGGTAGTTGTAGTTAAAAGTTAAGTTTTTTTTGTTTTTTTTTTTTAAAGACAAAGTCTTGCTCTTGTCCCTAGGCTGGAGGGCAATGGTGCAATCTTGTCTCAGTGCAACCTCTGCCTCCTGGGTTTGAGCGAGTCCGCTGTCTCAGCCTCCCGAGTAGCTGGGATTACAGGTGCCTGCCACCACACCCAGCTAATTTTTGTATTTTTACTAGAGACGGGGTTTCACCATGTTGGCCAGACTGGTCTTGAGCTCCTGACCTCAGGTGATCTGCTGGCCTCGGCCTTCCAAAGTGCTGGGATTACAGGCATCAGCCACGGAGCCCGGCCCAAACTTAAGTTGTAAGCCCCCTTCTGTACTCCAGATCTGCTGTTAAGTTATTCTTAGGTGGGATAGACTCTCTTTTTTTTTTTTTTTTTTTTTTTTTTTTGAGACAGAGACTTGCTCTGTCACCCAGGCTGGAGTGCCATGGCATGATCTCGTCTCACTGCAACCTCTGCCTCCCAAGATTCTCCTGCCTCAGCCTCCCACATAGCTGGGATTACAGGTGCCCGTCACCACACCCAGCTGATTTTAGAGATGAGGTTTCACCACGTTGGCCAGGCTAGTCTCGAGCTCCTGACCTCAAGTGATCAATCCACTGTGACCTCCCAAAGTGCTCAGATTATAGGCATAAGCCACCACACCCAGCCTGCTCCATATTATTTAAGAAAAATATGAAGAGTCCCTTGCCTTAAAATATTCTGTTATGAGACTGTCTCTGGGCTTGCAGTTCAATTAGAATGCCTTAGTTCCTGGAAGAAGGCAAGAGTAACGTCTTGAAACATGTTTGAAGAGGACATATATATCAGGCAGTGATTAGTAACATCTGAGTAATAATGAATTTATCAGGTTTTTTTTTTTTTTTTTTTTTCTTTTTGCTGAGACGGAGTCTCGCTCTGTTTCCCAGGCTAGAGTGCAGTGGCGTGATCCCTGCTCACTGCACCCTCTACCTCCTGGGTTCAAACGATTCTCCTGCTTCAGCCTGCTGAGTAGCTGGAATTACAGGTGCCTGCCACCATACCTAACTAATTTTTGTATTTTTAGTAGAGATGGGGTTTCACTGTGTTAGCCAGGATGGTGTCGATCTCCTGACCTCATGATCCGCCCACCTCGGCCTCCCCACATGCTGGGATTACAGGTGTGAGCCACCGTGTATCTGGCCTTTATCAGATTTTCTACTGACATCATTCTGAGACCAACCCCTGAGAGGTCACAAAAGGAAGGGAGACTGATTAGGAAATGAAACACAGCCATGGGACAGAAAATAGTTTTCTAATTGGATGCTAGAATACACGGGAACCATTTCTATCTTTTTTTGCTAGAAATTGCCTAGGGCCTGAGCATCATGAAAGTGTATTGGAATTGCTTTGTGAAGACAGTTATATCCTGATTAGATATCACTTGACATTTTTGTAAACCTGGCCTACCTGACAGAACATGAGTTTTTAAAAATGTTATCTATGGTGATTTCTAGGGAAAACATGTTTTATGGAGAAAGACAAAGTCGATGTCTTCAGGTTTGTTTCTTAAATTTTTTTTTTGTTTTCCATCAAAGAACTTGTTCATGGTCAGGCTTTCTCATTCTTAACATATTTATCGTATTACACATAGAAGACGGGAGTTTTCAGATTGTGACAAGGTAGCTTATATATAGGTATTCAGAAGACATAGGGATGGTAACTTACATTTGTTGACTTTCCAACTCTAGTTTCCCTACTGTTAACAACTTCTAGGGCCACCAAATAATATCTAAGCCATTGGAAATGTTGAGTATTTTTGGAGATTAAATATCTTCCTGATTCTTAAGAAGTCTGTTTAAAATATTACTGGTACTAGCCGTGATGTCATTTTTCCAAATTTTATTTATAAAATATTTTTATTATAATTTATTAAATACAATGCTTCTTCTTACAGCAAGTTGGAATTGACAGAGGTGATATACCAGACCTTTCACAGGTAAGTATATTGTTAAAATATCAATCCACTATCTGTTGTGTACGAGCTATGAAGAGTATTAAGATAAGTAACATGTAGCCCCCATTGTCAAAGGGATCAGTGCAGTTTTTGACCAATTTTAACATTTTGATGTATTCCTAAAGATTGTTCTAACATTATGACCACATCAAATGATCTGCTTGCCACTTACATTTGTGGCCTACCCACTGTCATACCATTTATTCAGTCTCTTCAATCACTGTTTCTTTCCCATCATCATCATTTAAAAAAAGAAAAGGAAAAAAAAAAACTTTTTGGAACCTGAATTTAGAAAATGATATTTAGAAAAACAATTTTCACTATTCTGCTGGTAGAGAATTATACAGTATTTATTTTTCCTGTTTTAAACTTCCACTTTGACCGTTTGACTCAGTTGGGAGAATTAAATAGGGATAAACTTCAAAACAGAATATTAGATTAAGAGAGTAGGGTTTGGGATATGTCCAGATTTCAGTCTCGGCTGTGCCATTAGCTGGCCCTGTGACTTTGGGGAAGTTACTTTCTAAGCTTCAGTTTCATCATCTGTAAAATGAAGATACTACAGTACCTACCTCATACAGTAAGTAGTTCAGGGGATTAAATAAGTTAATGCCAAAAAAAAAAATTTAGAGCATTAAGCACACTCAACTAATGTTGGCTGTTTTAATATTGTCTTTATCATCATCATCATCAAAAAGTTTCTAGGAAACAAACTTCATACCTGCTGGTTGTTGTGGCTTATTCTCTGTTTTCTTTACTGAGTATTAAGAATGAAAGTACCTGGCATAAACTATCCTTGTAACATTTCCATCAACTCTGTCAACTGTTGACATCTGTTCTACCTTGTTTTGAATTGTTCCAGGACATTTTTTTTTATGTTTCTTTTTGACATAGAGTTTTGCTGTTGTTGCCTAGGCTGGAATGGCAGTGGCGTGATCTCAGCTCACTGCAACCTCCACTTCCTGGGTTCAAGCGATTCTCCCACCTCAGCCTCCCAAGTAACTGGGATTACAGTCTTAAGCCACCATGCCCAGCTAATTGTTGTATTTTTAGTAGAGACAGAGTTTTGCCATGTTAACGAGGCTGAACTCAAACTCCTGACCTCAGGTGATCCACCCACCTAGGCTTCCCAAAGTGTTGGGATTACAGGCGTGAGCCACCGCGTCCGGCCTCCAGGACATCTTTTAAATGCCTTGTTAACAGTTATTACTGAGCTTCTCTGTACTCAATTGTTCTGATTCTTCCCTCTAATGTCAAGGCTAAGAGTATGCAATAAATCTAGTCCTGGGTTATATCTGAGTAAAGAATCCTGTATATGTCCACTTGAAATAAATTGGCTTTATTAAGAGCAAGCACATTATTCTGGGTTGAACATGAGATAAGTCATTGCTTGAATAACGTATAGTATAAAATGATTTGACAACTTTAGATTCCCCTGTTACCCACCCCATTTGTTGTGCTTCCCTTATGTTTTATTTAAAATTCATTGTCCTCAGGATAGATGTAGAAGTTACAGGCCATCATCATGTGTCTGTGTATGTTAATAGTCACCCTATTGTAATTAGAATAGGATTCTTTAACCTCTGTTCCTCTTTTCCTCTGTATTGATGATCTCTGAGCAAAGGGAACTTACCAGGCATTCTTTGGGTGATCCAGAAAATTTTCAAAAGTGAATAAAACAAAGCTGTTTACACTTTAGGGAAGATGGTGGTAATGCAGAAGAGTGGAAATTTGGGATTATTTACTCTTTTTTTTTTTGTTATTATATATTCTTTTAAGGTGTAAAGCATCACATTTTCTTCACTCTTTGGGTTTTGTTGGGGGAGGGGGAGAACAGATAGGCTTTTGCTTTGTCACCCAGGCTGGAGCACATTGACAAAATCATGGGTCACTACATCCTCAACCTCCCAGGCTCAAGTAATCCTTAGCCTCAGCCTCCTTAGTAGCTGGCATCACAGGCATATGCCACCACACCCAACTAATTTTTTAATTTTTTTGTGGAGACAGGGTCCCCTTATATTCCACAGGCTGGTCTCAAACAACTGGGCTCAAGCAGTCGTTCCACCTCTACTTCCCAAAGTGTTGGGATTACAGGTGTGAGTCACTGTGCCCAGCCTCCTCACTGTTTGTCATGTGGATTTGACTTTTAAAGAATAGCCAGATATATTTAGAAGGGATTTTAGAAATGGTTTGTCTTACTTATCATAACTTGGTAATTTAATATTTTTATTTGTAAGCCACAGCTTAAACCCTTCAGAAAAAAGATAAACTACAGTTTCTATGAGCAGAGTTTCAGTTTAGGATTTGGTACCATAGTAGTTAATTATGTAGTCTTTAAAGTCAGAGATACCTTCCCTATCTTGGCTTCTGTTGTGTATCAAATATGTGATCTTGGACAGATAACTTAATCTTCACTGTCTCAGGTTGTTTATCTGTAAAATGGATATGCCAGTAGTGTCTGCTTCATAGATTCAGTGACTACTACAAGGTAGCTAGCGCAGTACCTGTTGTGTGAGGAGAGCTTTTTAAATGTTAACCACTATCATCAACATCCTCCTTATTTCTGAAAGCTCCAAAGACAGTGCTTTGCTTGCTGATTAGCAAACATTTTTGCTGGGGCTGTAGGAAGTGCTTGTGTACTCTCATTTCAACAAATTTGTTCATCTTCCAATGTAGTATTTGGTTTTAAATGGTTTTCTACTGTATCTCCCTTGGGCTAAGGTCCTGGTATATAGAAGAAATAGTGAATGAAAGAAGTTGTTAAAGTCATAAATGATAGAGAAATTAGTAGGTATTGCCCCTTTAACTATTTTTAGATCCTGTAATCCAGAAACTGTATCTCAAATCCTGTAGAATATTTAGGGTAAGTAAACGCTACCGATGCATTTGCTTCACTTCTAGTGGACAGTTCTTAGTCTGCACACTGAAAAGGTTTCCTTTTGAAAGCTTTCTTCATATTAAGTTGAGATTTGACGTGTAGCCTGAGTTTAAAATAGTCTTCTGTTAAAAAAAGGTAAATACTCATTTCAGTGCAGTTTGATAAACATTTGTGTAACCAACACATCATTCAAGATAGGAAAATTCTATTTCCCCAATCCTTATGCCCCCCTCCAGTCACTTCTTACCCACCTCCACAATCACTGTTTTGTTTTCTAATAGCATAATTTTGTTGGTTGTTAAACTTAATATAAGTGTAATCATACAAGTATTTACTTTTGCATTCTGGCTTTGTTTGCTCATCATATTGTTTGAGAGCTGTCTATATGTTGTTGAATATACCATTAATTAATTCTTCTTTATTGCTGAATAATATTTACCATAATTTTGTCTATCCATTTTCCAAATGATGGACTTTTGGATTATTTGCAGTTTTTGACTGTTGTAAATAAAGCCACATTAAACATTAAGTCTTTTCTTACAGAGATAAGTTTTTATCCCTTTGGGGTAGTTAGGAATGGAATTGGGTCATTAAGGTGGGTGTGTATTTTAACTTTGTAAAAAACAACCTAATCCATTTTCAAGGTGGTAAACTCCCACTAGTGATATATGAGAGTTCCAGTTGTTCCATGTGCTCACTAACATTTGATATTGCTAATGTATTTAACTTTAGTCATTGTAGTAAGTGAAAAGATGTATCTCATTGTGATTTTCATTTTCATTTCCTTGATGCCAGTGTTCAGTGTCATTTATCAATAATTATTCCAGAGTCATGTTTGAACACATTCAGTTGCTCAGCAGTGCTTATTAAGTACCTTCTGCATGCTCAGTAGTATGTCTAGCTTTTGGGAGTATGGTTTTACTTTAAAATTTAAGTACTTGCAAGATTTTAAAAAAATGTTTCATGTTTACATAGTTTTCTGTTCTTAACTTTTTTGGTAATGTTTCTTAATATTTCCAACTAGGTCATGTTTGTATAATAAAAGTAACATTGTCATTCTCATTAAGTAGCTAAAACTCCACTGTTAATTAGTACATGAAGAACATACCTGTTTATTTTTGTTGCTCTCTGATTAGATGATACTTGATTTAATTTGACCAGTGGCCTAATTATCATGAAATTCTTAATATTTGTACAATTGCAGGCCCCCAGCAGTCTTCTTGATGCTTTGGAACAACACTTAGCTTCCTTGGAAGGAAAGAAAATCAAAGATTCTACAGCTGCAAGCAGGTACATCATTCTTTGTAGGACAAAGAGCAAGAGTGATTTTTCTGAGGGAGTAGATGAAATCAGCTCAAGTTCCAAGCCATTTAATTTCTCTTTATCTTGATTTGATTTTCTATAAAATGGGTTTAATCATAATGTCAACCTCATAGAATTAGTATCAGGATTAAATGGATTAATACATGCAAATTCTTGAAATAGTTTCTGACCTTCAATAAATGTCAGCATCTGTTAAGATAATGACAGTGACTGCATAGTTTAGAATTGTGTTTATGATGTCAGAAGTTCTCCTGAAGATGATAGTGCATTGTTTTGTATGATGCTTTATAGTTATAAGATACTTTTTTTTTCTCTCCCCCCCCCCCGCCCCGCCGAGACAAAATCACACTCTGTTGCCCAGGCTGGAGTCCAGTGGCGTAATGCCCATCACTTGCAACTTCCACCTCCCGGGTTCAAGCGATTCTTCCACCTCAGCCTCTCAAGTAGCTGGGACTACAGATGCATGCCACCACACCTGGCTAATTTTTGTATTTTTAGTAGAGACAGGGTTTCACCGTGTTGACCAGGCTGGTCTTGAACCCCTGAAATCAAGTGATCGGCACACCTCAGCCTCCCAAAGTGCTGGGATTACAGGCATGAACCACCGTGCCGGGCCTATAATTACAAGATACTTTCGTATTAATTTGCTCAATCCTAACAATAGCACTGTGAAGCATGTAGTAGCAATGCTGGGACTCAAACCTAGAATATCTGACATCAAATTGCATCATCTCTGTCTAATGCCAGTTCATAGGGTTGATTATTGATATTTTATATTTTAATCACTTTATTATGTTTTAAGCTAATTCCTCAGACTAAGACCAGTTAACCTCGCAAATTGAAAGTAACACATATCATTTCATATCAATCTGGTAACATGATTTTTGCATTGGGTTAAGAATTTACTTGAGTTACTCTCATGTTTTCATTTGAAGCTTTTTTAAAAAAACATGAAGAAAGAATTTGTATGATGAGAACTTTCCTTTGGTTCTTTTTAGACTTTCTGATTGTTTCAGAACTTTAGTCTTTCTTTTAGTAATAAAATTTAAGTAATTTTCAACGGAAAATGCCATTATTAGATTTTAGTACTTATTTTTAATCCTAAATTTGTACTTTGAATTTTCTAGTAGGATTTTCGAAGTAGCAGTCAAAACAATAAGTCTCATTTATTTGAGAGAATAATGAGGAAAAAAGCCTTGTAGTTCAGGTGTACCAATTTACCTGAAATGTTTATCATAAAATGTATTGGTTTTCTTGCATTTCTGTCAACTATGTCACTCTTCCTTTGTCTTCTGAGTTGTACCTTTTTATTGACTTATTTATAATACTAATTTTATGTAAAATTTAAAAGAGTTTTTACCACTTTACGTGCTTAAGTAGAAACTAATGATGATTAGTGTGTGGTAAAAGGGAAATAAAGCTCAAGGTAGTTCTTCAGGTTAGAATTCTTTACCACTTGTTTTACTTAGCCTAGAGTTAACATTTGGAAAGTTAATGTTGAGGTTTACAATGTGGATACTTTTTTGATAAAAGGGAAAGGAGGTGGCTTGTCAGTAAAAGATGATACATTGTATGTGTATATTAAAAAGGAAATTCTAGTTTGGCAAAAGGGCAGCACATAGAAAGATGCCAGATGACCTGGTGACTAGATTGAAACCAGTCTTCTTTTGAAGGAACCTGAAGTCCTCTGGGGATGTTGTTATAGGTGAAACATACCTAGACCTCTGTTACGTATTACTGGTATGCATGTTTTGGTGTTCTGTGGCACTGCCAAAACGTAGGCTGTAAATTAGCAGAGGGTTTTCACTGTGATAAGGTCAACACTTTTTCCCATCAGGGATTTTGTGGGAGTATGTGGGCTCTTTCCCAATTGCATTGGTTTCCTCTCTTGGGGCTTGGAAGAGGCAATGTGCCCCACTCTCTTGTGAACCCTTTCCAAAGTCAAACATTTACTCTAAAAGCAGTGAGTGTATATGTAAGTCAAGATTTTTCTAATTGCTCTAATCCCGTAGATCACTGGGTGGAATATTTCATCTGAAGTACTGGATTTGAATCCAGAAGTTAAGTTTATAATTATAGTGCCTATCCATGGCAAGGTTGCCAGACCGTTTCCTGACCTGGTTGTAATGTGAAGTGTTTAGCAAAAAGCCAAATTATCTCTGTTCAATTATCCTAGGGCAACTACACTTTCCAATGCAGTGTCTTCCCTGGCAAGCACTGGTCTATCTCTGACCAAAGTGGATGAAAGGGAAAAGCAGGCAGCATTAGAGGAAGAACAGGCACGTTTGAAAGCTTTAAAGGTAAGTTTGTGCATTCTCCATATTTGGAAAAATGAGTACAGGTGTTCATTAAGTAAATGGGGCCTCTGCACGGAGTCTTAAATGTATAGTGTTAATGGGCTGAAACTCAGTCTGACTTTTCATCGTGACATAGAATTAGGTAAAACAGAATACCTGCTATCAGAACAAATTAGAAAATGCTTTTTTCAGAGGTTGTACAAACAAATCTAGTTTCTGGAATCCTTATGGTAGTTCCCTTTCTTAACAGGAACAGCGCCTAAAAGAACTTGCAAAGAAACCTCATACCTCCTTAACAACTGCAGCCTCTCCTGTATCCACCTCAGCAGGAGGGATAATGACTGCACCAGCCATTGACATATTTTCTACCCCTAGTTCTTCTAACAGGTAGGAGTAGAAGTTAAGGTTACCTTTGAATATGTAGGTTCAAAGACTTCTAATAGAAATTTTGCAGGAATTTTCAGGTTTACTTTTATTTATACTTTTATAATCTATTCACACAAAGAGGTGGCGATAAATGGTGATATTGGTATAATACCTAAAGATAAAGTGGTGAGAGTTTATGTTTTACTTATTTAGGAAATGAAATATAGTTAAATCACTGATTTATGCTAATAGGAATATAGCTGTTATCTCTGGGCAAACTTTTTATTGTGTAAAAATTATGATTAAACACATTTATGAGACATCTAATGGTTCAAGACCCTTTATAGCTCTTTGACATATGGGTATGATGTATATTTTAAAATACCATTTCATTGGATATTAAACATCTGTCATATCTGTTTCCTGGTTTTAAACTCTGTAATCTGGAACATAGTGACAGTTTAGTTGCCAGGTTTCTTGGTATTGAAGCCTACCACACTAACTTTAATAATCTTGTTGTCTAATTTAAGCTACTTAACATGGAAATATAATATTGTGGGGTAAAGTAAAATAATTGACATTTTCTAAACCTGTTTTGTCTTTTACCTCAGAGTGGCTTAAGGTAGTTTAAAAGTCAGATTCTGGTTTGAATCCTGGCTCTTTTAGTTCTTAACTTTTTTTGAGAACTTGTTTTCAAGTGAGATTGTGGTTCTCAACTTTAACATCAGAAACATTTGGAGAGTTTATTAAACTACAGATATCTGAGTCCCAATTCTGGAGTTCTAATTCAGTAGGTGGGACTTGGGGCCCAAGAATTTTTGTTTCTAAGATGCTCCCAGATGACTAGCTGTTATTAGCACAGTGTGTTATTAGCACATGTTAAATGTTCCATAGAGAGTGGTGAGTTTTTTCCTTTCACTTTGTTGTTGCTGTTTATTTTATTAACTCACCCTTGAAAGTTCGTCTTCCTGCCTACTGACTCCTAATAGCTCAGCCTAAAAGCTCATTGTACGTTTTAGTATGTGAAATGCTTGCTGTGTGCATTCTCAGTTGCTGCCTGCTCCCTAAAATCTTAGTAGGTGTTTGCTGAATTTAGTTCTCTTTTTCCTTTCAGCTTTATGATTTGTTTGCTCATGTATGCTACCTTCTTTAATCCCCAGTTAAGTAACGTTGACCCCATTAAGGGGCAAGTTCTCAACATGGAGACCTTGAAAAGAAGTCTGTCCTAGGAGAGATAAGTGAAAAGAATGTTCAGTGTTTGAGGCTGAAACAAATTATTGGATGAAGAACTAATTTCACTGTTTTATCTCACGTACTAAAAATGTTCACCTTTTTAATAGTAATTAAGGGCAAATCTTACAGCCCATTTATAGAATTCTTATTGTATATTCTATATGTTCCCCAAAGCACTAAATGCATTTATATCTACTATCTACACAACTGTTTTACATCTAAAAGACATGTCTTCAAAACTTTTTTATAAAAATACAGTTAGAAGGAATAAGTTCTAGTGTTTGATAGCACAGTAGAATTACTAGTTAGTAATAATAATTGCGTTATCTATGTCAAAGTAGCTAGAAGATTTAGAATGTTCTCAACACAGAGAAATGATGAATGTTTGAGTTGTGATAGATGTCCTGATAATTACATGGTATGCATGTATCACAATATCATATGTATCCCATAAATATGTACAATTGTTGTATATCCATTTAAAAAGAAAAACATTCTATTTTGGAGAATATATAAGTTAAAAATTAGGAGCTGGGTGTAGTGGCATGTGCCTGTTGTCGCAGCTACTCAGGTGGTTGAGGCAGGAGGAAGGCCTGAGCGCAGCAGTACAATGCTAGCCCGGGCAACATAGCAAGACCCCGTCTCTTTGCGTGTCTCTCTCGTATTCTCTCTCTCTTTTGAGACAGTGTCTTACTCTGTTACCCAGGCTGGAGTGCAGTGGCACAGTTATGGCTCACTGCAGCCTCAACCTCCTGGGCTCGAGCGTTCCCCCGTCTTAGCTTCCTGAGTAGCTGGGACTACAGGTGCACTCCACGATGCCCAGCTATTTTTCGTTGTTTTTTTTTTTTTTTTTTTTTTTTTTTTTTGCCATTTTGCCCAAGCTGATCTTGAACTTTTGGACTCAAGCAGTCCACACACCTCGGCCTCCCAAAGTGCTGGGATTACAGGCATAGCCACTGCACCCAGCCTCCAGACCCCTTAAAAAAATTATCTGTATTGTGTTTGAATTTTTAGATACTCTAGGGTCATGTTTTGAGTTGTTCGTTAAAATCACATAGAAGTCTTGAGGTCAGAAATATATCATGTAAGCCAGGCATGGTGGCTCATGCCTGTAATCCCAGCACGTTGGGAGGCTGAGGTGGGTGGATCATCTGAGGTCAGGAGTTTGAGGCCAACCTGGGCAATGTGGTGAAACCCTGTCTCTACTAAAGGACAAAAATTAGCCAGGCATGGTGACATGCGCCTGTAATCCCAGCTACTTGGGAGGCTAAGGCATGCAAATCACTGGAACCCAGGAGGTGGAGGTTGCATTGAGCCAAGATTGCATCACTGCACTCCAGCCTGGACAACAGAGTGAGACTCTTGTCTCAAAAAAAAAAAAAAAAATAGGCTGAGTGCAGTGGCTCACGCCTGTAATCCCAGCACTGTGGGAGGCCGAGGTGGGCAGATCACCTGAGGTCAAGAGTTTGAGACCAGCCTGGCCAACATGGTGAAACCCCGTCTCTATAAAAATACAAAAATTAGCCGGGTGTGGTGCTGCGCACCTGTAGTCCCAGCTGCTCGGAAGGCTAAGACAGGAGAATCAATTGAACCCGGGAGGCGGAGGTTACAGTGAGTGAGCCAAGATCGTGCCGCTGCACTCCATCCTGGGCGACAGAGCGAGACTCTTGTCTCAAAAACAAGAAGAAAGAAATATATCATGTAAATAGTGTGTTGTATAATGGGGTGGCTCTATTCATAAATGCATGTAAAATTTTTTCCCTGTATCATTGATACGTAGTTGGGATACTGAGGCACTAGAAGTGAGGTTAAGGAGTATTTTACTTTGTAGTGTATTGCAAATGTGATTCAAGTTCTGTGAATATTAAAAGAATTTTAAAAATATTAAAATAGCTATGATATTTTGTATTTTAGAATCTTATTGTTTAGGTTCATTTTAATAAGGAAATTAGTTTTTTTCCGGGGGAAGACATTTATCCTTTTCCGAAGAGCTACTGTTCTTTGAATCCTGTATAAACTTAAGATATGATATTAGATTATTTTTCCAAGCCTCCTTAGAAATATGCTATTATATGAAGAAACTGTTCCTCTTTTGAGATTTATATTAATGAGACTTTTCTTCCTTGTTTTTAATGTTTTTATCTGCGGTGGGCAGAGAAGGTGACACTAAAGTGGAAAGTTTTTCTGGTAAATAAAACACGTTTCCAAAATATCTTTCTAGCACATCAAAACTGCCCAATGATCTGCTTGATTTGCAGCAGCCAACTTTTCACCCATCTGTACATCCTATGTCAACTGCTTCTCAGGTAGCAAGTACATGGGGAGGTAAGCATTGATGAATTCTATTTTAGATTTTACATGCATCTCTTCTCATTCTGTGGTGTTTTACTTATTTGTAGTTTTTTATTACACTTGATACATGAGAACTTGATAAATATTAAAATGGTAGTGAAGCAGTTTTATCCCTTGAAGGTATGTTCCTTTATTATAAATAATTTAGGAATTTATGTTCAAATAAATTATGAAATGACATTTAATAAAGATAAATGTAAGAGGAAGGACCAAGTGTATTTTTAGGTATGAGATTATTCTTTTAATGTTGAATTTTTATTTCATAACCAGAAAATGCATAGTGGTTATTTTGATTTTGGTGTAGAATTTTTGTTTTAACTTTTGGGGAAATAACTTATCTTAAGTATATGTTAAGTATATGATAAAGTTCTAATAAAACTCAGATGGTATTATCACACAGGAACTATGTTGTGACCAGGATTGTCTTGACCAGCTGTATGGTCAAGACTTAAATGTTTTAAATGTTTTTTAAATTAAGACCTGAAAGATTTTGTTAGTCAAAGAATTTTCCCCTTGTGCCAATAGGTATGTTTGCTGCCCTTAAGCATTTCTGAAGTGATAGGCTTATCTCTCATAGCAAGATAAATTATTCTAATGAGTTTTTACAGTATATAAACAAAGCTTTTTTCATTTTATTTTAATGATTTGAATTTAAGAACATTTAAAAATTTTTTTTTAAGGAACTATATCCTAGAAAGTAAGCTCTGTGAAGGCAGGTTTTAAAATATTTTGTTCTGACAGGTAGTTTGTAAACGTTAGTTGAATAAGTGGGCGCTTTCTCTTCTGAACAAGTTCTTTTGATGTCAAGGTGGGGCACAGAGCAGATAGTGAAACCCTAAAACACTAGATTTCAGGCTAGTTTTGTGATCCTGAACTTGATTTCAAAAACTAATTGACTTTGAAGGCTAGTTTAATTTAGCTAAATCTTAAGATCTGAGAGTAATTCCTAAAAATGACAAGATATTAATTGTTAAGTATTTTAGAATTATTTCAGAATGAACTGTAGATAGCAAATTAAGATTTAGAAAGGAGTTTCTTGATATCCTGATGGTATGTTCTGATTTTTGAATTCTTAATTATTTTCTGCCTTATTGTGAATTGCTTTAGAAAAGGTTAGTAGAATTAACATGATCATTTAAGCAGTTTCAGCTTATTTTCTTTTTTAAAAAATGGAGTAGTCTTTTTAAAACTAAGGCTGAGTTTTTCTAAATAGATTAAAAATATTACAGAAGGCCAAATAAAAATATATTTAACATTTTAAAGAAGCTGAACTGCAATTCCTAATTGTTTTGTCTGGACACCATGTACAACTAAAAATGACAAGTTGAAGTTTCTACTTGAAATTGTTAAAGTCACATGTGAAAGCAGATAGACTGTTACGGTGGGAGAACAATTCTAAGTAATTTCAATCTGTAAGAATTGTTCTGTGGCCTGTTAGAAGACATTATTCCATCAAAGTCTCTGTGTGACAGACTGCAATATATTGGAATACATTTAATCATGTTTTACTTTTCTATTTTAGTTTATTTTGCTTTGTATGCTATTTCTGTAAAAATTTCTCCCATATTAAGTCCCATAGTTTAATCAGAATTAAATCCTGTCTTGACATTCATATAAGGATATTTGGCTTCTGAGTTGGTGAGAACCAAGGTTTTGACTTCCGCATGATGCTGAGGAGTATTTTAAGCCAAGAATGTTCTAATTCGAGTCAGTATTCATATCCAGGACAATCATATTGATATATATTTTTTTAATTTTTAAAATTAAAGTTTGACTAAACAAAGTTAGACTGAAATAAAGAAATCTCATATATGGCCTGGTGCGGTGGCTCACACCTGTAATCCCAGTACTTTGGGAAGCCAAGGCGGGCAGATCACACGAGGACAGGAGTTCCAGACCAGACTCACCAACATGGCAAAAGCCTGTCTCTACTAAAAATACAAAAATTAGCCAGGTTTGGTGGTGCACATCTGTAATCCCCACTTCTTGGGAGGCTGAGGCGTGAGAATCACTTGAACCCGGGAGGCGGAGATTGCAGTGAGCCGAGATTTGTGCCACCACACTCTAGCCTGTGCGACAGAGTGAGACTCTTGTCTCAAAAGAAAAGAAATCTCATATATGAAAAGCTTAGATCATAACATTAAATGCTTAGGGTATTTTGAAGTTAACTATTTAGCTGAACACTTAAATATGTAACAGTTTACATATAATGCTGCTCTTATAGTATATGACAAAACAAAGGTATGATTTTTTCATAATCCCCAAATCGTGTTCTATTCTTTTATTGGCTTTTATTAGCTAAAAATGAATGCCAATAATAGACCTAGTATTTAATGTAGTTCTTATAAACACCACAGAAATGATGTGCATTCCTGGTCATAGATAGATTAGTGATAAGGTAGAGATAAAGGGAAGAAAAGTTTGTATGTGTATATGAAAGACATTTAAGATTCCACCTTTTGGTAGAATGAAAATGAGAGAACAGAAGCTCTCTTGTTGCCCTCATTGTATTGTTAATGAGCCTTGACTTTTTCAAAAAATGTTGTGGAGTCTAAACAAGCAGTGGGTATTGAATACTAATACCTGAGGAGACCTAGGTTTTCATCACCCTGAACATTTTGTATTATAGCAAACTTTTGAGTTTTTATATCTAAAAATACGCAATATTGTCAGCTTGGTACACCGTTGAGTATTTGAAGCAAGATTTCAGATTTTAGTTTAGGTATAATAGAATCCATTCTGAAGTGTAATTTGCTTTACTTTTAGCTGGCATGAAACACAAAACACTTGATGAAAACATTTGATTACCTGGGCAGGTGCAGTGGCTCATACCTGTAATTGCAATACTTTAGGAGACCAAGGCAGGAGGATTACGTGAGCCCAGGAGTTCGAGACCAGCCTGGGCAACATAGCAAGACCTTGTCTTTACCAAACGATGTTTTAAAAAAAATTAGTTTACTGTGTGTGAATGTAGATATCAGTTGTTTAGGACTTAAAGGCTATAGTATGACTGTGGTGCCATTTTAGTCTTTGTTTTACAAACTTTTTTTGGATTTTTTTTAATGACTCTAGTGTAGCATAGAATTAAACTTTTGGGCCAGGTGTGTTGGCTCATGCCTGTAATCCCAGCACTTTGGGAGATCGAGGTGGGTGGATCACTTGAGGTCAGGAATTTGAGACCAGCCTGGCCAACATGGTGATACCCCGTCTCTACTAAAAATATAAAAATTAGCTAGGTGTGGTGGTGTGCACCTGTAATCCCAGATACTCGGGAAGCTGAGACACTAGAGTCACTTGAACCTGAGAGGTGGAGGTTGCAGTGAGCCAAGGTCATGCCCTTGCATTCCAGCCTGGGCGACAGAGCGAACCTCTGTCTCAAAAAAATAAACTTGAATGAATAATGAAAAAAATAATGGACAAAACTGTATTTAAAAATTTTAAACTGGGTGCAGTGGCTCACACTTGTAATCCCAGCACTTTGGGAGCTGAGACAGACGATTGCTTGAGCCTAGGAGTTTGAGACCAGCCTGGGCAACATGGCGAGACTTTGCTTCTACAAAAAAAAGAGAAAATTAGCCAGGCATGGTGCCATACACTTGTGGTCCCAGCTACTCAGAGGGCTAAAGTGGGGGGATTGCTTGAGCGCAGAAAGTTCGAGGCTTCAGTAAGCCATGATTGTGCCATTGCACTCCGACCTGGGCGACGGAGCAAGACTCTATCTAAAGGAAAAAAAAAAAAAAACTTTAAGGGATTTAGAATTGCCAGTTTAATAGATTAACTTGAAATAGCTAGAGCGTTATTATTACACCTTAATGAATTGGTTTTTATATTATAGTGTAATGTCCATAATTAACATCTTGTAGATTACCTGTAATATTTTGTCAAGTAGATTAGGAACTGGTTTTCCTTATCCGATTGATCTAATTATGAATACATTTGCACATATTTCTGAATATTCTTCTCTAAGGTGTTTCACGTAATAGGAAGTGATTGAAATTAGGTGCTAGGGAAATTAAGTGCTAAATAAAACCTATCTGTCAGTAGAACAGCGGATAACTGGTAACCTTTCTTGAACATGTGTATTCTCATAAACCAGTGGCTCTGTTACAGAAATAGTGTGTGTTTTTTTTTAAAAATGACTTATTTCATGGCTTTTTTTTTGCATGAAAAACAGGTATTTTACTTGACAAAATACAATGTACTTTTAAAATTCTATGCAGCTATTAATATCATGTATTTAAAAGCAGAACATTTGGCTGTGTGTGGTGGCTCATGCCTATAATGCCAGCACTTTGGGAGGCCAAAGTGGGTGGATCACCTGAGGTCAGGAGTTCGAGGCCAGCCTGGCCAACATGGTGAAACCCCGTCTCTACTAAAAATAGAAAAATGAGCTGAGCGTGGTGGCACGCGCCTGTAATCCCAGCTACTCGGGAGGCTGAGGCAGGAGAATTGCTTGAACCCAAGAGGCGGAAGTTGCAATGAGCCGGAGGTTGCAATGAGCCGAGATCACGTCATTGCACTCCAGCCTGGATGACACAGCGAGACTCCATCTCAAAAAAAAAAAAAAAACAAAAAAACCAAAAAAAAAAAAACCAGAACTTTCGGCCTAACTGGCCAACTTTAAGCTTAATGCTTTCTTATGTAAGAAGAAGCTAGAGTGACCATCAGTATATATATTAGCTAAAAATACATATATATTTTTAGTACTAAAAACCACTGTCCGTGGTGGTTCATGCCTGTAATCCCACCACTTTGGGAGGCCAAGGCAGGAGGATCGCTTGAGTCCAGACAGGGGTTCAAGACTAGCATTGGTATTATAGCATCTCTACAAAAATTAGCCAGTCACGGTGGCACGTGCCTGTAGTCTCAGCTACTCGGGAGGCTGAGGTGGGAGGATCACTTGAGCCCAGGAGTTTGAGTTTACAGTGAGCCATGATTGTACCACTGCAGTCTGCCTGGGCAACAGAGCAAGACCCACTCTCAAAAAGAACAAAACAAAAAAAACCGACCGCACCCCCCTACAACTTCTTGTAACTATTTTCTACTTTTTCTTTCTTAATTATTGTTTTCTGATTCTTTTTTCCCAGTGTTCCATTTATTGGGGAGTGGAATGATGGGAAAGATTTCGCGTTTGAATAGCATAATCAGTATATTTTAATAGATTTGTAGGACTTTATTTTTTTTAGTGTGAATTGGTGTTCCACAAGAATACTATTATAGAAAAGTTCTTATGTTACAGAAAAAGTTGTATTGAAAAGATGTGTTATTTTAAAAATCATAACCTGAGTATTTTCTTGATTTTTTTTTTTTCCTTTTTCAAACAGTTGTATTTGAACTTGCAGAATGCTTGCCTTGAATTTTTTGACTTTAAAGGAAATGTGTCTATATCATAGTAAATGAGCTAGTCCTTAGGCCAGTGTTGCCTTCTTAATGTGCAATAATACAATTTTGAGAGTAAAATACAGTACCTAGTAGTGTGAAGGTACCCCAGTATATTTTAGTGAAGGTCAAGAACTAAACTAGAACAGACAAGAAAGATTCTACTGTTTAGAATTACAGGAGTATCCGCTTATTTTTAATTATGTTACAAAGAAAAAATTATGATAATATTTTTGCTGCTTTTTATTTTTTTCTTTCCCCATTTAGTTAACTTTTTAAATCTTGAGAAGTAAAGAAAAATAGATTTCAGTCATTAGAATGATAATTATCTTGAATAAGGTATCAGTATAATATTTATCTGATTCTAGAATAACATTAGATAAAGTATTTGATAATGGTACATGTTTGATATCATTCTAGTAGGGAAACAACACTTTTGTTGTTCCTTTAGCAAATCATTTAAAGACTAAAGCTCTTAGATAGACATTCAAAGCTGTTGCCGATCTATTAAGTGGGCATTCTTTCATCTCTGTTCTTAATTATCTAAAATTCTTTTCCCCCATGCTTAGATTTTTTTCTTCATCTTTATTTTTTATTTTGAATATATTATCTGCATATGCCAGAAACAGCTTCTTACCCTTAATTTGTCATTACCCTCTTTTTTCTTTGAAAGTTTACTCACGACACACATACCTATTGTCAATATTAATTATTCAGGTAAACACAGCTATACCACCGCGACCAACACACTCACCTAGGACAGGGAAGATTGGTGCGGGATGGGTGGCTCTTTATAGAAATATCTTGGTTATTATTCTCTTTTTTAACTACCTCACTGTTGGCTTTCTGGTGTTAACAAATAAAATGATTTTTTTCTAAGGATTAATTTTAAAATATGTTAAATGCAATTCTTCCATCTTGATAATTAGATATTTTTTGTTTTTGATAATTTAGATATTTAAGATGAATAAACAATAATATAGCTACTATTTTTCACTTTTCATCTTTTGACTAATTATAATACTAATTAATTTACTTCCTTTCTTCGTTTTGCTGTAATACATTTGGACTGCACAGATCCTTTCTCTGCTACTGTAGATGCTGTTGATGATGCCATTCCAAGCTTAAATCCTTTCCTCACAAAAAGTAGTGGTGATGTTCACCTTTCCATTTCTTCAGATGTATCCACTTTCACTACTAGGACACCTACTCATGAAATGTTTGTTGGTAAAGTACCATTTAACCTTTTTTTCCAATCAATGTTTATACTGCCTAACTATATTTTACGTGTCCATTAATTACTTTAAAAGCACTGCAATAATTACTTCAGATTTTAATATCAAATTCTAAAACTAACCAGCAATCATGTAGTGAGTTTTTTAAATTGACACTAGCATCTCAATTTTATTTATACGAACTTCTAGGAAAATTTCTCTTGATGTTGAACTCTTTTTTTTTTTTTTTTAGCGTTTTGTTCTCTTATCATGTTACAATGCAGTACTCTAGCTGTCTAGTATCACATGCAGCTTCCTGTTTTAGTTTGGAGAACTGGTTGAAAAGTAACATCTCTTAAACTTACTTGTTTATATGTGTTTATATTTTTCTCTTTGTGCTTGGGAGAGAGGGTGGTTAATCACTCTTAGCAACTATCTTTAATCTTTTGTTTCTCTTTTAGCTGTTGCATGTCATAGTTTTATATTGTCCAAAGTCTATGCATATCTTTTATCCCATTCTGAAGGATTTCACTTTATTGATAGTATGGAGATAAAAGTAGGAAGTATGTGTTCCATTTTAAATAGTAAAGCAGAAACACAACTTGACTTGGATATTCTGTAATTACAGTATAAAAAGGCAGAATTTCACACTGAGGTTATATAGGGAATAGTAAGTTTTAAAATATATACTGAAGCTGAAATAAATGTTTTTGAATTCTGGTGAAAAAGATGCTAACCCTGCTCCCCCCCAGCCCCAAAGACGATGAAACAACTTTTTTTTTTTTTGAGACAGAGTCTCGCTCTGTCGCCTAGGCTGGAGTGCAGTGGCACGATCTTGGCTCACTGCAAGCTCCGCCTCCCAGGTTCACACCATTCTCCTGCCTTAGCCTCCTGAGTAGCTGGGACTACAGGCGCCCGCCACCTCGCCAGGCTAATTTTTTGTGTATTTAGTAGAGATGGGGTTTCACCGTGTTGGCCAGGATGGTCTTAATATCCTGACCTCTTGATCCACCCGCCTCGGCCTCCCAAAGTGCTGGGATTATAGGCGTGAGCTACCATGCCTGGCAGACAATGAAACTTCTTTTGTTCAGTTCAGAGAAGCAGCTTAGGGTAATGTGAATTTAAATATTTCATTAAAACAGCATGCAGAAAGTCATCAGTATACCCTAAACAAATCATGTGACCACATTCTAAATATTCTGTTAGATATATATGAGTGAGGGGAAGGAAGTAGTAACTAGAAAGCGAGTTAGTAGAAGGAGAATAGACAAAGTTCCAAGTCAGGTCTTCTAAAAATATGACTAGTCTAATAGTTTAAAATACATATATACCCAAAGTGTGATAATTCATTGCAGTAATTCTTTCATGTCATTTTGATACAAAGTTGCCAACCCTTACTCTATAGGATTAAGAACAATCCAGAAAAACCAGAATAGCTATGTATCTAGGCAGCTTCTGATCTTGACAGAGGGAAGACATTTGATACAATGATATGTGTAATAGGTAATAGTGTAATAGGTAGCTTGTCCTCATTGAAGCTTCAAGAACACTGAATTGTATGTCAAGGAGACTGAGTTGTGGTCTTAACTATGCTGCATATGTGATTGTCTGTGAAAGTGTCTAGGCTTGCCTTCTCACCTGTGAAACCACACATTAGAGGACAGGATCGTGTTGGCTAAAAAGCCAACTGCCTCATATTTCTTCTCTAATGAGATACAGTGTTGGGTTTTTCTTTTTAATTTATGCAAACAGAATAGTTTTTTAAAAGTACTTAATGGAGCCTTAAGTTCTTTTTTTAGTACGTTGTCATTTGAAGAATGCCAAGTGCTTGGGCTCCCCCCATTTTTTGTTTTCTCAATTACCCATCCCACTCATAACTGTTCCTCCCCTTCTCTTTCTTTTTTCCACCTTCTCTTCTTCCTCTTATTCCTTGCCTGCCTCCCTAGCTGCTTCCCTGATTCTTTCCTTCCCCCTTCCCCTCTTTTTTCCCTGTCCTTACTCCTTTCCTGCCTTCCTGTCTTGTGTGCCTTGTCAGAATTGTTTGTGTCACTTAAGTTTCTCCTAATACTACCTTTATGTGCCTAGTTTCTTCTACTGTAGCCGGCTCATTCGGAGCTAGATAACAGTATCTTTACAACTTATTTATGCAGGAAGGATTTTTTTTTCCTTAAAATGAGTTTTTATAAACTTGGTAAGAAAAAATACACTTACTTGCTTTCAAAGAACACACTACTTTTTGCCTAACTGCATTTGCCTTAATTAAACACTTGGTGATTTTATGAATAGATGCTTATCATCTTCTTACTTTACTCCATTCTCAAACCTTAAATTTTCAGAAGCATATAAACGTTTTAATATTACAAGGTTATGTAATCTGAAGTTTTGTATAATCTATGTCTTTCCACATATATTCAAGACCATTGTGGTAGCAGTAAAACCTCAAAGTCCAGCTGATATTTTCTGTGTGCATAGTAGTTATTACTGTAGTTAAGTTGGGATTAAAAAGAATGCTTGACACAACTAAAGAATTGAGGCTCTTGATCGCAAGAATTGGACAGGACTAAATATTTTTTAAATGGAATTTATTAGGGCGTTTGATGGTATGTGCTTGGAGCCTAGTGAACTTAGGTTTGAATTCTAGTTCTGCTTCATGAACTAAGACTTTAAGCAAGTATTTAACCTTTTTAAGGCTACGCAAGTTAGGAAAATAGTGTCTTGCAGGATTATCATGAGGTTTACATACATGACTACGTAACATCTAGCACTTTGCTAGGCATATAAAAGTATCAAAACAACTACCACTAAAAACTATCTTGGGAGCTGGGTCCAGTAGCTGGTGCCCATAATTCCTGCCAATTAGGAGGCTGAGGCAGGAGGATAGCTTGAGGAGTTTGAGGTCAGCCTGGGGAACATGCAAGACCCCATCTCTCAAAAAATTTTAAGAATTTAAAATTCTTGTATATGTGGACCACATCATGATTAGAATGTACTTATTACCTAAATTATTATGTAGTCATCTTAAACATTGGTTTTTTTTCTTTATTGCTTTTAGATTTTAAAATTGCCAAAGATTATTCACTTTTTTTGGTCTAATAGCAATGAAAAGCTCAAGAAGTTCATAAAATTTGAGTTGTTTTTAATTAATTATATAGCAATAGTAAAAAAATGTCTTGTTCTACTTACTATTTTATGTAAGGTGAAATACTTGGGATTAAACTGAAAAACCCCTAATAAATTTTAGAATCGAATCAAATGGGGGTTCGAGTCTTGGTTCTGACAGGCTTACTAAATCTTTGACCTTGGGTAAATTATGTAATCTCTCTTTGTTTCCTCATCTGTAAAACGGGGATAATAACTATGTCATAGGGTTTATGTGAGGTTTAAATAATACCCTGTTTATAAAGCCCTTGCATAGTGTTTAGTAGTGTTTAATAAATGGTAGTAGTTACTTTGACAAAAAAGTATGAGCCCTAATTTATTGTAAAACTACCACCAAAATCAATTCACAGTCCAACCAAGTTTTGTAAAAGGTATTTGGAATGCCTTTCTTTCCCCAAAGCTTGTTGATCTTGTACTTTTCAGTTAATTTATTACTGTCCTCTTGAGATTTATCCTGCAGGCCAGTGGTTTCTAAATGATAAACTGTGGGTTGGTGCTGGTTAGTGAGAAAGTTTTCACTGAGCCTTGGTGAAATGGAAGAGTAAGCAGGACCCGTGTAATAATATCATAAAGTTAACCTTAACTCAGAGCTCAGGCCTGCTCTTTTTAGCGTGTGCGTGCGTGCGCGCGCGTGTGTGTGTGTATTTCTGTAAACTTTCCCTTTTAGAATAGTGATACTAGCTGGGTCTTTTTGTTTTAAATAACTTTTAAAAATTAAAAGTTGACAGTCCTGATAGTTTCACAAAAAGTTGATGATGTGCATTGAAATTAGATGTAAAACTTTAACCTTGTTGGTATGTGTTTTTCAGGCATGCAATAATTACTTAAAAAATTGTTACTTTGGAAATAAACTGCTTGCCTCCATGATAACTATGTGACTTTAAGCAAATATTAAAAGCTCATTCGCTATTGCAATTTACTAATTTTTTTTAACTTTTTTCCTCTGTCTATAGAGGCTTTTAAAACTTGAGATACAAGTTCTGGGTTACTTTATAGTCTTTCTAACCTTTTATACTTTTAGGTAATTATGTTGTAATTTCACAGATTGGTACCTCTAGGCATTTGAGGAGATGGCTCCTCTTTTTACAGAAAATATTGAAGTCATTTCTGTGTGACTATAAAGGATAAGCTTATCTTTTATATCAATCATATTCTAGAAAGCTGAGGCAAAGTAGCAGGACAAAATAGGAATTTGATATATTGGCCTAATTTTAAATTGTTGTTCCATATATAATCTAAAAGTTAGTGACATCATAGCCAAGATTGTTACCAGAATGATTTAAAGAACATTATCTGTACTGCTAACACTCTGATAATAGCATGGGCACATAATTAAGCATGATAGATTTTTTTCTTGAGTAGATACATTGGCTTTTTATGTAAAGGTTAAGAGAACAACCAGTAGTAGTAAGCTGATGGCATAATTCCTAAACAGCTTGCACACTTAAAAATATTATTAAATTGGTAAGTCTAGGATTCTCAGATCGTTTTCATGAATAGTCAGGAGATTTATATACTAAGTTATTTCGTATTTTGATAGTGTTTTGTGTTCTCATTGTATGACCAATGTCTTTGAGTTAATAGTAGTTTAAGGGTTATGTGATTATGGAACACGATCAGACTGGTACATTCTCTAAAAATGTGTGTGCTACAGAATAGTCATTATAGGATGTGTAAGATGCTACTTTAAAGTAGTATCATTAATGTGTATCAGCTTGTATGATTCTTCGCTAATAACAAATTGTTGTTTCTGTCTTTGAGGAGCTTCTTGGACATCTCACCAAATCTTGTCCTACTTTTTACAGTTTTCTTTGAGATCAGTCTTTCTAGTACAACATGCTTCATTGTACTTCTTTACATCCTGGTGTTATACATTAAGAATTCAAAGTGAGATTCTGACCCGAATAGAGGAGGGGAAGAGAGGGATCCTAAGTTTAGGACACCAAAAGTTTAACTTCTCCCTAATGGTGTAGTTGTTAACCTTCTAATATAGGTGGTTTTTGTTTGTTTCTTTGGTTTTTTATATTCTGACTCGGTAGAATTTAGAAAACGAAGAGACCTTAGGAGCCTTATAACATTCCAAAAGGTGAAATAATTTCTTCTTTGTGATCCTTGCGAGGTTGCTGTTTATTTGGATATACTCAATGATTGAAAGTTCTCCAAATCACATGACAGCCCTAATATTTTTAGGTGATTTTAATTCTTTTCAGCCCTTAGACATTCAGAACCTTACTCAAATATAACCTCGCATAATTGGAAACCTTATATTTGTTAATTCTGTATAGGCTGATCTTAAAGACATGAGCTTATTATCTGTGTAATACCACTAGCATTAGTGTAATGCAGGCAAGAAAGAATAAGGTCTGTTAATGGTTTTGTGTTTCAAGAGTAGAGTCAGCTTAATTAGTATGCTTGAGTTTATGCTTGTCATCCCCACTGTTGCAAGTACTAAGTTGAAGTTAGAGGGTGGTTGAGAGTTGAAAGTGGCATATCTTCTTTCTTTGATGTTTTAAAAGCACATGGATACAGATGGACATAAGGATTAGTGAGTTGCAACATTGAGAATCCCATCACTGAACTTAAGCTATTTAGCTTTTGATTAACTGTTGAAGGAAGGATGGAGAGAAATATGGAAAATGGGTAGGTGGGAGGGAGAAAAACTTTTATCTTGGGGATACTGAGAGGTTTCATACTTGTTTTTTAAGCACTACAGAATTCTTACTGCATTCTCAACTGATCCCTTACTTTGCGTATGTATTTTGCTTCATGCAAAATCTTGTAATTTTAGATGTGTTTAGTTTTTTAAAGATTATCCTCATACAAAATTAAGGTAAAAGATACGCAAAGATTTCTGTAATGAAGCATATTTTCCGTTCAGTGTCAGTTGCTTATTTGTTAATTTTGTCAGTAGGATGATTTTGTTAGAGAAAACCTAATCGCTGCAAAAAATGTGATATAGAAAACATCTTGCTTGAAGGATTGGCTTTGTTTTTGGGGAATTTACTGCATTTTCCATTCTATTGTCATCATTATTAAATAGTTGTAAATGTAGAGTTATTAAATAATTGAACTTTTTTTTCGATTTTGGTTTACCCAGGATTCACTCCTTCTCCAGTTGCACAGCCACACCCTTCAGCTGGCCTTAATGTGGACTTTGAATCTGTATTTGGAAATAAATCTACAAATGTTATTGTAGATTCTGGGGGTAAGGAAAAAAATTTTATTAAAAATATTATAGTGTCCTAATTTAGATTCTGTGTAAGGAAAAATAATGCTGCTTTTAAAATGTTTAAGTATATTAAGTTGGGGTAGCCAAAGAAATTGACCCATCCCCCCAAGCACTAGACGAGAACTTCAAGGAGCTGTTTAGTCATTATTCTTTTATTGGTGCCAGTTTAGACTTTGGGAACATTTTGTTAGTCCTGGAGCAAAATAAGAGAGAAAAAGAGATTTAGCTCTATAGAATGCTAAGTTGCTTGTGACTGTGTGTTGTGACTATGTTGTGCCTTTTTAGGCATGCAATTTTTACCTTTACTGAAATGAATAATAACAGTATTGTATCTTAATGTATGAAATTGGCTATGTTTGTAAACTAGAATAATATAACTTGTGGTACCTTGACTTGTTTAAATAATCTATTATAAATAATTAGAATGTATTAAATGATCAGGCCTGCGGGTACAGAAGCTTTTTATTGTTTTATATATGATTCTTATTATAATTCATTTGTCTTAAAGAAACTTTTTAGATCTGTAGAGCCAGGTTTCCACTTTGTGTTTTCATTAATACCTTGTTAATTTGAAGTGCCTGTAAAACTTTGACACTCATAATTTTGTTCTTACCCTGGGATGGCCTTTGATTTTGGTTAGTAATTAACTTTTAGCCATTTAGAGAGAATATATTGAGATGTTCTTAATTTTATAACATATAATTAGTTATCCTCCAAAAACTAAGAAGCAAGCCTAGAAAAAATATGTGTGGACTAAGAATTTATTTTTTCTGTGCACTAGTAGATTTATAGTAATATTTTTTTGCTGCATTAGATTTTAGTTTGTCTTGCCTGGGAAAGTGGAAAGAGAGACCAATCATTGTTATGAACTATCATCTTTGGTGACTTTCTTTTTCAAACTCTAATATTCCTAGATCATACTATTGAGTCCCATAGAGAGTTTGATTGGATTTTCTTTAATTTTCTATCCTTTGGTGAGGAAAACTTAAAGAATTTTATTTTCATTTTTAAGAATTGTCCTCGTTTACTAGATGGGCTTATGCAATTACAGTGTTTAGCAGTTTCTTAGATATAGTTCACTCTTACATTCTCTGCTTTTAAAAAAAGGTCTATAAAATCTTATTTCTTAATGCAAAAGGAACTTTTTTCAACGTTCCAGAGAGCTATTTTTTAACCTATGTTGCTTTAGATATGAGTCTTCAAAAAATTTTGCTGGGCAAGCAGGAGAATTACATTCCTTTTTTTCCCTTTTGTAATACTTCTCTCTTATCCCCTTTAACCCTAATGTAATTTTGTCATGAGATAAGAGATGATTTCTGTCAAAACAAATACAGCCTTCTCAGTCAGTTCACTGTGAAGTGGTAAATTTCTCCATTTTCCATTTAAAGACATTTACTGATGTCTATTTTTTGGATAACTTTTCCAGTGAACAAACAAGGAGAAAAGGCAAATACCTCCTTTAGAAAACCATAGCATCATAAAGTTCCTTACAAATTCTATTTCGTCTGTTTGTAACTTTAAGGCTTTGATGAACTAGGTGGACTTCTCAAACCAACAGTGGCCTCTCAGAACCAGAGCCTTCCTGTTGCCAAACTCCCGCCTAACAAGTTAGTATCTGATGACTTGGATTCATCTTTAGCCAACCTTGTGGGCAGTAAGTAGTCTTTGGATACTTTAATCTTCTTTTATGTTGTTTTATTAAACTGAGTCTTGTGTTATCAAATGCTTTTTTTTTTCTCCTTTACTAGATCTTGGCATCGGAAATGGAACCACTAAGAAGTGAGTGTTTAATACACACATTTTTTTCTCCATTTGTTATTTAGAGGTTGATTTGACTTTCATCTCAAAAGTATGTATAGAGATGTCAAGTCTGCATCTTTTTTTTTTTTTGGACACAGAGTCTCGCTCTGTTACCCAGGCTGGAGTTCGGTGGCGCAATCTTGGCCCACTGCAAGCTCTGCCTCCCGGGTTCACACCATTCTCCTGCCTCAGCCTCTCAAGTAGCTGGGACTACAGGCACCTGCCACCATGCCCAGCTAATTTTTTTTGTATTTTTAGTAGAGACAGGGTTTCACCGTGTTAGCCAGGTTGGTCTCAATCTCCTGACCTCGTGATCCCCCAGCCTCGACCTCCCAAAGTGCTGGGATTACAGGCCTGAGGCACCACATCCAGCCTTTTTTTTTTTTTTTTTAACAGAGTCTCGCTCCGTTGCCCAGGCTGGAGTGCAGTGGCGCTGTCTTGGCTTCCTGCAACCTCCACTGCCTGGGTTCAGGCAATTCTCCTGCCTCAGCCTCCCTAGTAGCTGGGATTACAGGCACGGGCCACCATGCCTGCCTAATTTTTGTATTTTTAGTAGAGATGGGATTTCACCATGTTGCCCAGGCTGATCTCGAATTCCTGACCTCAAGTGATTTGTCCACCTTGGCCTCCCAAATTGCTGGGGTTACAGGCATGAGCCACCACGCCCAGCCTAAAGTCTGTATCTTACTCTGTTCAATATACTTAGATAGTTAAGGAAACTTTATAATTAGAGACATTTAATATTCTCACTTATGTTTATTTAAAGTGATGTAAATTGGAGTCAACCAGGTGAAAAGAAGTTAACTGGAGGATCTAACTGGCAACCAAAGGTTGCACCAACAACTGCTTGGAATGCTGCAACAATGGTGAGTTGAAGAAGCTTCTGATATACTAACACTTGAATAATTTAGTTAAATATGTAACATGAAAATGTTTTTAAAGTGATAGGCATAAATAGATTGTTACTGAGTTTAGAAGTGTAAGTAATTTGTATTTCTTTTAAAGGAAGCTGGTTGCCTATGTTTACCGGATGTATTTTAGTGGCTAACAAGTATTTAAGGGTTACTTTGTGCCAGAGTTCATTCCAGTAAATACTAATGTTTTATTTTTGATAATTCTATTAATGTGTTAGTAACTATTATTACCCCCATTTTACAGATGAGGAAGTGGAGGCACAGAGTTATTAAGTAATGTGCTCAGGATCACAGAGATCTTAAATGATTAGTTGCATTTTTAGAACCTAGGCAGCCTAACTATAGAACATATGTCCTTAGTCACTACTCTATATTACTGACCTCAAATTTTTTATTTATTCTTCTAAAATATAAAATCTTCTAGTTTCATTATTGGTAAAGAAACTATACTTGCTTGGGTTTTGTCATGTAGTTTATATATATGACAATATATTTGATAATTATATATATGTCATATAACTTATACAGTTGATTCTCATTATTTGTGTCAGTTAAGTATTTAAAGTCACTCCAAACACTGAATTAGTGAACACTGAACCCTTGCTAGGGGAAATATATACATATACGTATATGTCACATAGATGTTCCTTTTAGAAAACCTCATTCTAGTATATTCTATTTTCTTTATTTTGCGAAAGAGGAAATAAAGTTCAGAAGTGTTAAGTGACTTGCTTAAGGCTGTCGCACTAACTGGTGCCAGAGTTGGAATTTTAGCCCTGTCCAGCTGGCCCCAGAGTCAGAGTTTCTTGCAGTATGATGGACTCCCCATCCTCCTTCTCTATCCTCTGGTCTGGTCTGAGAGCTGAACCAAGGCAGAGCGTCCTTTGTTCCATCTCAGCTGGAAGTGGACTGTATTGGATGAATCAAATTTTTGCCACTCTGCAAATGAGCATGAATGGCCTGGAAAGCACCAGGAGTGTTGATTTTTGGTGTCACAAAGTTTATCAGGTAGGTGAATTTGCAAATACAGAATCCATGGATAATGAGGATTAACTGTATTTTCTAATTAAATAATTAGCATCTAGTAATGAAGAGGTTTTAGCATGTTTTTAATTACTGTAAGATATGGTAGACCCAGAATAGCTTTGTGGCTATTTTCCTGCCCTAGGCCAGTTTCTCTCTTACCAACCAACAAATTTTCGTCAAAGAAAACTCCTTCTTGTGGAAAAGTTTGAAGCATTCATTCTCCTGACAGTAGACTAGTAGCTGTGTTTTGATTACACGGGCTACACATTACTAAGAGCCATCCTATTACTGTTAGAGGCCTCTGTTGCCCTTACAGCCACTTCCAGAGCACTGCCCTGTTTTCCATGGGTTAATGATATGTTAAAATTAGTAGGACTGAGCTAAAAATAGTATGTTTGTAAAAATTTGTGCATTTTATTATATAGCTTAAGACTTAATAAATGGAAAGTAATATTGAGATTTAGCTACCTTTTTAAGGCAGTTATTTTTTGTTTTTATAGATAGTGTTCACTGCCATCACTAATTTTATTATTATTATTTTTTATTTATTTTTTTTTTTTGAGACAGAGTCTCGCTCTGTTGCCCAGGCTGGAGTGCAGTGGCCAGATCTCAGCTTACTGCAAGCTCCGCCTCCTGGGTTTACGCCATTCTCCTGCCTCAGCCTCCCGAGTAGCTGGGACTACAAGTGCTCGCCACCTCGCCCAGCTAGTTTTTTGTATTTATTTAGTAGAGACGGGGTTTCACCGTGTTAGCCAGGCTGGTCTCAATCTCCTGACCTCGTGATCCGCCCGTCTCAGCCTCCCAAAGTGCTGGGATTATAGGCTTGAGCCACCGCGCCCAGCTATCATTATTATTATTATTATTATTTATTTTTTTGAGATGGAGTCTTGCTCTTTCGCCCAGACTAGAGTACTGTGGTGCGACCTCAGCTCACAGCAACCTCTGCCTCCCAGGTTCAAGTGATTCTCCTGCCTCAGCCTACAAGTAGCTGGGATTATAGGTGCCCACCACCATGCCCAGCTAATTTTTTTAGTTTTAGTAGAGATGGGGTTTCATCATGCTGGCCATGCTGGTCTTGAACTCCTGACCTTAAGCGATCCGTCCACCTCAGCCTCCCAGAGGGCTGGGATTACAGACGTGAGCCACCATGCCCAGACTACCATCACTGATTTTAAAACTGTGCATTTAAGTAGTTTAGATTTTTATACACACAAATACACAATCTTAAACCTGTAAATGTTGCTCACTTGAGGAAATTGGAGCATGTATCACCCCACTTTTAAAGACTTTTTTTCCCCCTAAATGCAAAGCAGTTGAAAAGCAGTTTTAAGTTGACATCCATCTCTTTGAGTCTGAATCCATTCTTCTTCCCACTATAACGCACCTCATCGACTAGGGTATGGTAGGAGTTTAGAGTAGTGGATTTTATGATCTCATGTGTGAATTATGACATTGATGATGTATGAGGAATGATATAAATACCAATGCTACTATTAAAATATAATGAATATTTTCTGAAGTTAGTATTAATCTATATGAAATATTAGGAGTTCATAGATAGCACTTAAGACTGACTACTAAAATGTAATAGGTATTTAGTCCTGTGGAATTTGTATTTAAGTTGATAACAGTCTTTATCTTGCTGTGTTATATATGGTAATGTGTATCAATGCTAAAATATTTGTATGTATTTTATGGAGTTTTCTTTTTAATGCCTAATGTTTGGGGCTGATAATGTGATTCACTACTTAAGATAAACTGCTGCTTTTGACATTTCTTTACATTTCTAACCTTTTTATTAATCCTTAAACACTGTCAAGGTTTTTCAGTGTTTTTTTAATTTAACACAAATTCATTGGAATTTTATTAAAATGAATATTATACTACAAATTATTTTAATTAGTGCTTGTTTTTTTTCTGTGGTAAACATCTGGTACAGCCCTGTTTATGGGATGCCCAGAATTTTGCACTATTGACACTATTGATAGAATTGATGTTTTAATGATACTTGTAATCAATAAACTATTTTTTATATGAAGAGATGAGGCCAAAGACTACAATTCCCTTGTCAACCTTGATAGTGTTTTAGTATAGATGTTCTTTCATTAGATACTGGAAATACAAGGGATTTTAGGTAGTTAGTGAATGTACATGTGAACTAAAATGCTCTCTGTGTATTTTCTGTTGTGTAAGTACTTGTTCTAATCCAGTGTTATTGCATTATGTAATTGTTCTCCCTGGGAAAAACAGAATGGCATGCATTTTCCACAATACGTAAGTGACCAAAAACGAGCCTTTTTGCAATAAATTGGCATGCTATTAACCACTGCTGTAGCAGAATCTCATAACCTTTCAGCTATTGTTTTCACATTCAGATTTTCAATGTGCCAGAAATTCTTCCTAGCATCTACTGATTTCATGGGTGTGTTGCAGAATTGATTCTGATGGTGGCATGGGAAATACCAATTTTTTTTCTTGCTTAATATTCCGCCATTTGCTGCCAGATGGCTGGGTGTCTGTGTGTGTATCTGTGCTGCCACTATGCACTTGATGACTTCTGAATGAAGGGAAATGTTGATTGTGGTAATGTTTAAAATAACAACTGCATGAAATCTTACAGGCTTCTGCTCTTCTTGGCAGTTTGTCTACTGCTCTTGCAGATCTTGGTTTTTAAGTAGGGAGAGACCAATAAGCCCTACACGCTCACCCAAATACTAAACTTAGAACTGTTCACTTTAGTGGTTTTTCTTTAAAGTTATACTTCATTTAATTTCTCCATGCATATGTTCAAATTGCCATATAATTTCAGTTATTTTATGTTTTAGCAGTGTTATTGGTCTTTCACCTTTATTCAATTTCAGTTTTCATTATGAGAAACACACACAGGAAATGTTGTTAAGACAGCAACTATATCTAAAATGATTCTGTTCTCAAATTGTATGTTTACAGATAATCAAAATAGTAGGAAGAGGGGAACTTAAACATCGTAGTGGTAGATGGTTCTTTTAAACATGAAAGCATGAACTGACCTAATTGATTGTTCCTCTTAAATAATTTTTGGAATAAATTAGAAAGCTAACATACATACTTTATATAAGAACTATGGTTCATAGAAATAGTCATACTCAATAGTAGTTTGAAACCTTTGGAGTTCTTTGAAAAGAGTAAGATACTTAGAAACTAACTTTTTGGAAGATCAGGTTATTGATTGATTGGAGATCTTTACTTTTTTTTTCTTTGAATGCTAAAGCAATCAGGTACCTAAGTAAGAAAACATTCAATAATACTTTTTCTGGGTAAACATTTTTTATGATAGTGATAGGCTTTAAATTTTACAACTATTTAGAACTATTTAAGATACTTTTTTAAATCTAAAGATTTTTAAAGCTGTAAAAAGCATGATGAAATCTTAGATCACTGCTGTATCTAAGTTTAAGTGGTATATTTTTCCTTCTAATAAGTCTGCTTTTCTGCTAATTTCAGGACACTTTTTTTCACTGACCATTAATTGACAGTTCTTAATGATCACAAGTGGCACTTACTCACAGCTGTCTTAGCAATTCTTTTTAGTGGAACTACAGCTACTAATTCCTTGAACTCAGTTGACACACATGAGTTACACTTTCTTGTTTATTTTTCCTTTCACTATGTTAGGCACCCCCTGTAATGGCCTATCCTGCTACTACACCAACAGGCATGATAGGATATGGAATTGTAAGTATTTTCCCAGATACAGCTTTTGGAAAAAATGTTGATTCATATGTAATATGCTTTTATTACAGTTTAACCTAAAAATGAATTTAGTGCTCCTCGTACACCTAGCCCTAGTGCCTAACGCAGTAGAACCATAGCATTGGTTTCATAAGCGTGTCTAGATCAATCATTATACAAGAGATCTTATGCATTAATGTTCATAGTATTACTTGGTTTATTTTTCTCCTCATAACTTTGCTGGCCTTTTATATTTCAAACATTCATGTTAATTCTGAGCCTTTGTTGCTGTGACCATATATTAAATACCAGTGAGATCTTATAACCTAATATTGTAGGGCATGGGAAGGATTAACACTTGAATTGTATAGAGGTAAATTTAGTCTGATAAAGGCTAGAGAAATTTTCCTGTGACAGTGGTTATTACAGTACAAAAACAGTCTTAACCTTTCAAAATGCCACAATGTGCATTTTAGATTGCCCTTACTTTCCCAACTCTCAGTATATAGAGACTCACTTAAATAAGAAACGGTGCTAGTAGCTTCAACCCACCGGTGTGTATTTGAGGAACTGTTCCTGGTAGAAGGCAGTGTCATGTCCCTTAGTATTACTATTGTGCCTGTTATGTTACTTCTTTATGTATATGATATGGAAGTAACTCCTTTTATACATGTGGAGAAGTTTCACAGCTTTTTTTCACAGTCATTGCATTAAAATGTCTGCTGAGGCTGGGCGTGTTGGCTTACGCCTCTAATCCCAGCACTTTGGAGGCCACGGTAGGTGGATCACCTGAGGTTGGGAGTTCAAGACCAGCCTGACCAATATGGTGAAACTCCGTCTCTACTAAAAATACAAAAATTAGCTGGGTATGGTGGCACACACCTGTAATTCCAGCTACTCGGGAGGCTGGGGCAGGAGAATCGCTTGAACCCGGGAGGCAGAGGTCACAGTGAGCTGAGATCATGCCACTGTACTCCAGTCTGGGCAACAGAGCAAAACTCCATCTCAAAAAAAAAAAAAGTCTGCTGAGAAACTCAGGCCATAAACTTAAAATGAAGCTCTAAATGCAAATAGTAGTCTACTTGAAACAATAAATAGAACTTCTTGAAAGATTTTAGAGCATTGCATTTTAACCAAAACAGTAGTCTGTATGTGCATTATTTTTACACTAGGTAATGTCACTTACTAGGTTAATTTTATACCCTGTAGTAGTAATTTTTAAAGAAACATATTTGGTTGAGATTCTGTTTTCAGTTACTCAAGAAAGAGTTAACCTCTGGTGTGTAATTTAAGCTCTTTTCTTGATTCTTATGTGAAATAAAATGGAAGAACTAGAGCAGGCTTATTCAGAGAATCAACTGTCTTCAGTTGTGATTACTTGCATAATGGTATAAGAACCTGATTTGTTATACAAAGGCAATTTACTTTGAAATATCTTAGCAGCAAAGACAGAGTCTTAAGTTTTCTTGATGTCTAAACCTGATAAATTTGGAAGCTCTTAGTCTGAATCATTTTATCTGTTGTACTAGAATAAAGTTTAAATTTTGCTACTCATCGAATAGAAAAAGTTAGGCTTTGTTACCACATTTTTAAAATGAGCATGTTAAAGGCTTTACATACCAAAAGAAAAAAAAATACTCTTGAAAGTTTGTAGCTGTTAGTCTTACTTATGTTCAGAGGAAGTTACCCTTTGAGTCAAGCAAAGGTACTAGGACCTGTCATCCCTGTTGTCATTGTTATTTACTGAGTCACAATAAGGAAGATAGGAGTCAATATCTTTTAACTTGATAATTTTCTGTTTTTTAGCCTCCACAAATGGGAAGTGTCCCTGTAATGACGCAACCAACCTTAATATACAGCCAGCCTGTCATGAGACCACCAAACCCCTTTGGCCCTGTATCAGGAGCACAGGTATTACAGACTACATGCAGCTGTGGTAATGTGCTTGATTTGGAAGGAATATGATACTATAACACCCTTTTGTACAACTTGAGAAACAAGTTACTAGCACTTTCCCCCTTCATTATGGATATTGCTTGCTTCATATCTTTCTTGTATAAGAGCTTTAGGAATATTGATTATTTGGAGGGAAAGGATAAGTAGATAGCAAATACTAAAAGACAGAAAATTCTTGGTAACTTGTAGTTGGTGGATCCAAAGGATGATTTTTCTGAGATTAAGGAGCCTACTTGCTCTTCATGATTCTGGTGTACTATCCTTTGTGAACCCTCCAAACCATTAACTCAGAGCTTTAGTTCCTTGGCTAATGGCAAGAATGATGCTACAGCAGGGTGTGTTGCCCTTGAGATGCTTGTGAAACTCTTGGCAACTCTTCAGAAAGTTTTGACTGTTATTTTTTCATTAGATAACTTTCTGCCACCGAGGATTGTTTTCAAAAACAAACCAAAAAAAGGAATCAAAAAGCTTGAAATGTCATGCTAAACTAGATTGTTTAATCTAGAGACTTTCCTCTTCACGTGTTTCTAAGGGTTTTCTCTCCCAGTTCCTGAAAATATGCCATAAATATACATTGTTTTTTATCCTATTGTTGTTGCATTAGAAGAATGTGGGTTTGTGTGTGTGTGTGTGTGTGTGTTTTCTTTTTTTAAGGTTTTACTCATTATGGTTAGAAGACATAGGAAATTCCTTTGTTATTCACTGGGATGAGGCCCTTGTGAAGTGATAGGATGGTTTATCCTTCTGTGTCTGCGGCTCTGCTCATACTGTTTGGTATTTAGAAGTAGTTAATTATATGCAATCATTAGAACACTCCTCCTTTTCTTAAATGGTTTCTAATGCCAACTGATTGGTTACTGTATGTGTTTAATGCTTATTTGAAAACATTTGAATGAACATTTGGTTAGTGGACTTGTTATTCCCCTTCCACTTGAATGCATATATATTACATTTGCCAAACCATACCGTCTTACATTGCCAAAATTAGTTTATTTGATCCAATTTGAATCTAGTCTGTATACACAGTAGTCCCCTCTTCTCTTTGGGGTTATGTTCCAAGACCCACAGTGGATGCCTAAAAATGAGATAGTACTGAACCATATATATGCTATACATATGTACCTCTGATAAAGGTTAATTTATAAATTAAGCACAATAAGAGATTAATAATAATGAATAATAGAACAGTAACAGTATACTGTAATAAAAGTTTTGTTAATGTGTGCCCTTGCTCACGGACATGCTTGCTCTCTCCGTCTCTATCTTTATCTCTCTTGAGCTATCTTAATATCCTCTACTTACCTATTTTCAGACCACGGTTCACTTCGGGTAACTGAAACCACAGAAGGTGAAATAGTGGACTGTATTTCATAGACTAGTGAAGCATAGGCAGTCGTTTCATTTTTCAGCCTTTTTGAATATTGCATTTCTTAATAAATTGATACCTCTGTTGGCTAAGAGTGGGTAGTGAATTTAGTTCTGATTAAGCGGTAAAATTCATGTTGGTTGCAATTAATACATTTAGCAGCATGCCTCTTTTTTTACCCCGCCCTTTGTCCATGTTAAAATGACTTTCTCCTTGTACTTTAATCAGTTAAGTATTTACAGTGAAAATAGAAAATAACTTGGAGTCAAGATAATTGACAGAGTCATTACTTTTATAAGTCAGTTACTTTTTATGTATTTGTTTTTATGAAATAGTCTGAGTATTTACAGTATTTATAGTAACTACTATTGAACTTTTACCAGCAGTAATCTGATTACTGGTTTAACTTGATAATCTTTTAAGAAGTATATTGATGATATCCCTATCTGTTGTAGATGTTTTCTTGATAAACGATTATGTCTTTTTCATGTCCTTTTGTTTTTTATTTTGTTATTTGTACATTTAACTTCAGATATGTATCATTTACTTTAAAAATTATTATTATTTTTTTTGCTACAGAAGACTAAGTGATAGAAACCTAAATGTATTTAAATAATTTTTTTAAAGCTATAGTCCATGCTAAAGACTTATTAGGGACCTTTGACTACAGAAGCTTTTTTCCTGATATGTAGTTAAACCCTTCACCCCCTCTGCATCTTGATTTACAGGCTGTTGTCAGAATATATTGCTACCTTAAGCTTGGATGCTACCAGACAATTTCCAATTACTTTTACATACATTATGTCACCTGATTCTTTAAGGTAGATAGGTCTGCTCTCACCATCACATTTTATAGGTGAAGAAGACAGATTTGGAAAGGTTCTTCAGCTAATTAAGTGGTGAAATCAATTTATCCCCAGGTATCTCCTATTCGTAGTCCAGTGCTCATTTATACCACAGTCTCTCTGCTAGTGGGACTGAGCCCTTAATGGCCAATACGGTAGCACCATCTTCTTTTGTCAGCAGTGAACAGTCTACATGCTCATTTGTTTTTTCTGGTAAATGTGTAAACATTTACACATTCAGGATGTAACTACTGTAGTTGTAAAGAATATCCTCTACAGTTTTGGGTAATAACCTTCAATCTTGAAACATTGTGTATGAGTTTTGCTTTTGAAAAAACTAAACTTTTTTTTTTAAATGTTGGCAAAAATCTACCTTTAAAAAATTGTTGGCCAGGTGCGGTGGCTCACACCTGTAATCCCGCACTTTGGGAGGCCAAGGTGAGTAGATCACCTGAGGTCAGGAGTTCAAGACCAGCCTGACCAACATGGTGAAACCCTGTCTCTACTAAAAATACAAAAATTTTCTGGGCATGGTGGTGCATGCCTGGAATCCCAGCTACTCAGGAGGCTGAGGCAGGAGAATTGCTTGAACCTGGGAGGCAGAGGTTGTTGTGAGCCTAGATCATGCCATTGCACTCCAGGCTGGGTGACAAGAGCTAAACTCCATCTCAAAAAAAAAAAAAAAAAATTTGCTTGTCACCCAGCATCTGCTCTGTTTTTGTTTTGTTTTTTGAGACAGGGTCTTGCTCTGTCACCCAGACTAGAGTACAGTGGTGCAGTCTTGGCTCACTGCAATCTCCACCTCTCAGGTTCAAGCCATCCTCCCGCCTTGGCCTCCTGAGTAGCTGAGATTACAGGTGTGCGCCACCACGCCTGGCTAATTTTTGTATTTTTTTTAGAGATGGAATTTTGCCATGTTACCCAGGCTGTTCTTGAACTCCTGAGCTCTAGCAGTTCACCTGCCTCAGCCTCCCAAAGTGCTGGGATTACAAGTGTGAGCCACCACACCCACCAAGCATCTGCTCTTAACCCAAGTTTTATGTCCTGTTGCCTTCTAAAACCCACATAACCCTTTCGCAGAAACCAGAAAAGTGCCAGAATTTCCTTGTGCATGAAAAGAAACAGGGACAGAAATATCTTTTCCTAACTACTTTATACCAGAAGAGAAGTGAATGAGAACATTAGGGTAGTAAGTTTCTAGTTGAAAGATAAAATTTGAAATGAGTACTTAAGTATTACTGAAAAAGCAAATGAAGGAAGCAAATTGATAACTAGAAAAATAAAATCAGGCGGCAATGAAATGGCTCAAAGAAGCTTTGGTCTCTCTGCATAGTCATTTGAATCATTTGAAAGTCAGAATCTTAAATTTGTTAATGTTACTTTTAATTCTTTATAAATCCTTTGTTCTCCATGTGTCTAATCACAAAGTCCCACTAATTGTTTCTCTGCTGTAATTAGACCCACCCTTCTCCTTGCATTCTACAGCTTTCACCCAATATTGGAACCTTTTTATTCACGCTTGTTTTGCAATAGTCACTCATGTTCTTTGCCTCCCCGATTTAATCCATTTTGTAAATACTGGAATAATCTTTTGTAGGCAGTATTTGTAGCACCTCTCTCCGTACTCAAACATTTAGGGAGGTGAATCTTTTTTTGTGTGTAGGTGACAGAGTCTCTCTGTGTCCCCCAGGCTGGAGTGCAGTGGTGCGATTTCAGCTCACTGCAACCTCTGCCTCCTGTGTTGAAACTCGTGCCTCAGCCTCCCCAGCAGTTGGGATTATAGGCACACGCCACCACGCCCAGCTAATTTTTAGAAGAGACAGGGTTTCACCATGTTGGCCAGGCTGGTCTCAAACTCCTGGCCTCAAGTGATCTGCCTTCCTGGGCCTCCCAGAGTGTTGGAATTACAGGTGTGAGCCACTGTGCCCAGCCTAAGGATGTGAATCTAAATATAACTGAAAATTTAAAGCCTTTTCTCAGCTTTCCTTCCATTTTTTAACTACCTCATGAAGCTTCCCTATTTATAAGAATAATAATGAGTTAACAGAATATTCAAGTCTTTGATTCCATACTTTTACAATTCTCAATAAGTATCCAGTGTTCTGCTGTTATTTGTCTTTTCCAAAAGTCCTTCACCTGCCATAAAGTGGGTTTACTCTTTGTCCAGTCTTCAGTCGTCTCATGTCCCTTTCACATCCTTATGAGATCTGGAATTCTTTTCCTTATTCTGCATTATTTTTTCTTACAGACCTTGTGACTACCTGGCATCCATCCAATCTAGCAAGGGCCTTCTTTACTAAATTATAAGCTTCATGAAGGCAAGCTTCTCTGGCATGCTTACTTCTCTGTCCTTAGTTCCTGGAACGGTGCCTGACATGTAATAGTTTTTGTACATTTTTTGTTAAGTAAATGAATCACCTTGTAAACTTATCTTTTTCATCATATAACTTACTCTGCCCCTCCTTAATCTCTCATTTCACTTACTTGTAACCATTATAATAACTTACAGTGGTATTTAAAATTGGTTAGATTTGTTGGCTAATAGTTATGGTGAGCTAAAACATTAGATGGCTCACCTGAGGATTGAAGACAGCTTTAACTTCATGATTGAACATTTTTAATAATTAAAAATTAAACTGTTGGCCAAACGCAGTGGCTCATGTCTATAATACTAGCACTTTGGGAGGCTCAGGCAGGAGGATCGCTTAAGTGCAAGGAGTTCCAGACCAACCTGGGCAACATAG